GTATGAGTGAGTGTAAAAATGTGTGGGGCTTTTTTCTTTGTTATCAGTAGTGTTGGTCCCAGTAACTCTACGGCCAGTAGCCAGTAGGCCCTGCCCAAGGTGCATTGGCCAGTAAGTGGCCTCCATGCAGTTATAGGGCTCTGAGAATGGAGCCGGAAGGGACAGTCTCAGAGGCTGCCTAGGCCAGGGGTGGGGAACATGTGGCCTAAAGGCCACATGTGGCCTTTGGGTCTTTGGGTGTGGCCTTTTGATGGAGTCCAAGTTTTACAGAACAGATCCTTTTACTAAGGGGATTTGTTCTGTGAAGTTTGTTTTCGGTCCAAGGGCCGCACTTGAGCACCTAGAGGGCCACGTGTGGCCTCAAGGCTGCAGGTTCCCCACCCCTGAACTGGGCCAGTCCCCTAGAGGTGAAGGGACTCACCTGAGGCCCCACAGGGACCAAGCAATGAAGATGAGATTCGAACTCAGATTCTGTGACTCCAAGTATATCACATTTATTCATTTATTCCAAAAGTGATGGAAAACTTTAAGTGCTTTTTCTCACGTATGAAATGGAAAACTTTGTGGAGGTCTCCCTTGAAGGGCCGGGCATATTTGGAGAATGACATTCTTCCTTGTGCTGTTTGGCCCGGCTCGGTGAGCACATGTATTGGTGTGTGAGAATGGGGAGAGGAAATAATCAAAAAGAAGAAATTTAGGGAGTGAACCCTGGAAGTGTGGACACACCCTGTGTGTGCTTTGGGAGAGTGCCAGTGCCCTTTGGCACAGCCCGGCTCCTATCTTGGGATTACGCCTCTGGGCATGGCCCTGTTCCAACCTCGAGCCCATAATCTTGCCCCCGTAAGTGCGTCCCAGAATCCTTGCTCTGCTCCAAAGGCTTGGGAGATGACACTTTGTGCAATCAGAGAGGGATAGTAGAATAATGTACAGTTCAATGTCTGATAACCCGCGTCCTGCATCCTCCAAAAGTGTTATAATAATAAACGAATAATAACAGTTAGCATTTCTGTAATAGTTTTAAAGCTTGCAAAGCACTTTACATATGTAATCTCATTTTAGCCTGGGAGATAGGTGCTTTCATTATCCCCATCTTGGAGATGAGGAGTCTGAGGCAGAGGTTACGTGATTGGCCAAGGGTAACACCTCCAGCAGCGTGTGAGGCTGTATTGCAGCCTCAGTCTTCCTGACTCCACTCTGCCCAATGCAGCAGCTCGCTGCTTCCAAAAGAATGGCCTCCTTATCGTAGGATCCAGAGTTAGAACTAGAAGAGAGCTGAAAGGCTATCTCATCTAAGCCTCTCACTTTACAGATGAGGAAACTGAGTCTCCAGGAAATTATAACCCATAAATTAGAGCCCAGCATAACCCAGGTTCTAAGTGATAGAGCTGGGGTATGAATCCAAGACCAGGGCTTTTTCCCTTTACTACCACCCTCCATGAAAGGGGGAAAATAGTGTTTCTGTCTTTTCTCTAGCCCTGTTCACCTCACCCTTAACAAGGGTGTCTCTCCTAGTGACATCTGGCTGGCCCATTTCTTTGCTGCCTTACGTGGGTTAATGCAGGATTATAAGAGTTTGGAAGTCATACGCCCGTGCTTCAGTGCCCCCCAGGCCTGGTCCGTGCTCTCTGCACCCTGATTTATAACAGCAATGATAAATAAACCGATTAGCTTAACCTGCCAGGCGAGCAGAAGGCAGCACCCTCAGAGGATCTGAGGCGAGCATTCATTTTTCTTCCATGTCTGCAGCCTGAGTCTCAGCTTTCAAATGTCAAGAAGCCTGCCCCAGAATTGATTCCGCGTAGATGAGACAGAATATGAGACTTCCTTGATTAGACTGTAACCGAAACCCATCCCTCCTGTTTCTGCCGCTATCTATACCACCAGATAGACATTGCCCAAGGCACCTGCCTGTTATTAAAGCACCTGCCAAGCTTGGCTGCAGGAAGAGAGAAACTGGTCTCATTGCTTGAAAATGAACTGGATGCAAGGACTGCTCCCCAAAAGGCCGTTGGCTGCTAACAGCAGAAGGGAATGAAAGCAGAGGGGGCCGAAGCCAGCCCCCCTCCTGCCTCCTCCATCTCTCCAGTTCCCACGTGGCCCTGCGGTGGTTCTAATCAGCCTGCATCCAGCTGAGGCCCGGGAAGCTGTGTGAGGCAGCCGCCGCAGCCTCGGCGGGCCAGCCCCCAGCACTGGGGGTCAGGGGGCCATCGGCACTCCCCTCTAAAGGCAGCCAGGGCTCCCAGGCCCAGCATGCTCTCAGCAGAGGGCGAGCGTGACTCTTTTCTTGTAGCAGTCAAGAGAGTGGCACCTTCCCTGCTGCTCCTGAAAGACAGGATGGATTTCTCTTTCTTTTGCTTTTCCCACTTCTATCTCTCAGCAATTCGAGGGGCGTTCAGAGCCCTGCTTAACAGAGTCTTGCCCGGGGAGCAGGATTCAGTAACGGCTTTCATAAGCTTTGAATAGAGTTCAGTAACGTGTCTCTTATTCCTCCTAACACGACTCTTACAGACCTCTGTAAATTCTCCTCTCATCCCCAAACGTCCATCCACTCCCTTCTGTACGTAGCAGCAGGTGACGGAGCAACAGGAGAGACCTGCGGGTGTCAGGCAGTGGGGTGGAGGCAGAGGGCTGGACTTGTCACCCCTCTGACACTCATTGGCTCTGCGACCCTGGGAAAGTCACTGATTCTCCAAGCGTATCTATAAAATGGAGATCTAGTTGTAGTAATATTAGCTACCATTTAGAGAGGTTTGCAAAATGCTCTACCAATATTATCTCATTTGCTCCTCACAATGACCCTAGGAGATAGGTATGATTATTATTTTTATTATTCCTCATTTTACAAATCAGAAAACTAAGGCCTAGAGAGGTCCAGCTTGTGGATTTGAACTCTGGTCTTCCTGATTTTAGATTCTGTGAGTCCCTATCCACTGTACCATCTCACTACTTTGCATGTTTTATCTCTTGATTCTCACAACAAACCTGGAGTGGGGGGGAATGCATTGTTGTCCCCAATTTATCTACAAAGAAATCAAGCCCAAGAGGGATTCAGTGACTTGCCCAGTGTCCTACAGCTAGTAAGTGTCAGAGCCGGATTCAAACTCAGGTCTTACTGACTCCAAGCCCGATACTCTTGTCCACCTGGCTACTTACAGGTGCAGGGCATTAAAAAGCAGACATAGAATGATTTCTGTCCAGCATCCTGCTGACTTTCAAGCACCATACAGGCTGTTCCCAAAGTTTGTCAGACTAGACGTCTAAGCCTTAGGGGATGATCTGGAGAAATGGGAGTTGGCACTTTATTATTACTCTAGGGCAGGGGTCCGGGAGCTCTTTTTTAAAAAAAAGGATGATTGGCCTTCTTTGTCATCCTCTGCCTCGTTCTGAGCAGGGGTTCCCAGGCAGGGGCCACTCGTCTGCTCAGGGGGCCTGAGGCACGAAACGGGCAAAGAGCCCGAGCTCTGGAAGGAAGGAGGAACGTCGCCGAGCGGCAGAAGGGGCGACACGATCCGCCCATTTCTTTTCCAGGCCTGTTCTAGGCACAGATTCCTGGGAGGTCACCGGGGTTGCAAGTTGGGTCTGCCTTGACTCCCTTATTATCACTCCTGATTGAAAGAGTACAAGGACTGCTTCAAAGGGAAAAAAGAAGACAAAATATTGGAGAGGCAGAGCAAAGTGTCAGCCTGTGTCGGGGGGTGGGATGCCCTTAGACAGGCCTAGGACAGAAGTGATTGAACTGAACCTTTGGAGCCAGGGCAGGAGACGAGGAAGCTGATTCTCTGCTTCAGGAAATAATGAGAAGAAAACATCTCTCCCGGAGCATCCAAGACTAGTCAAGGTGAAGCAGCAGGGGTGGGTGGAGGTTCCCTGCTGAGGAGAGACAGGCAGCTAGGAGGGGGAAGCGTGCTCATTCCTGGGAACAGACAGATCTGTAAAGTAAGAGGGAGTCTCCTGAGACTTAGCAAACCTGACAGCCTGCCCACTTCTCAGGATTCACGTGGGGAAACGATATAGCCGAAAGAACCAGGAAGGTACGGCTGCACCTGGAAAGCTGGTTAAGAAAATCCAGCCTAGAGGGGCAAGGGGATGTGGTCCTGTCTTATGTCCCTCTGAGGCAGAGGCATCGAGACGGCAGGTTCCAGGAAGGGACCAGCAGGTTGGGAAGATGGTGTCTCCACACAGAATTTATGGGCCACAGTCTAGGATACGAAATCGTGGACTCTTGTGTCCTCACCAAGAGGGTCAAAGTAGAGTAAACTTGCCCACAGCTGGTAAAAACAGATTTTCTGGGAGCCGCCGCAGAAAACTGCCCGCATAGATTGGTCAAGCCGGTTACCGGCGAGAGCAGAGGGCCGGGGGCTCCCCAGGGTCAGAATTCCAGGAACAAGTCTGAGATAAAACCTGCATCCTCACACAAAGGAATCACGTCTGGGTAGTCAGCAAGGTGAGGGAAAGCACAACCTCAATTTGAAAATGTGACCTCACAGGTCCCACAGAGATAGGTAGGGCATGACTCAGACCCAAAATAGGACCACAAAGAGTCCACCTTACTCAAGAGTTAGCCGTGAAGAACACATATGCCTGTATCTCCTGCGTATTTTCAGGGCCCAGCGCAGTACCTGGCACATAGTAAGACTGAGTGACTGGCTGATTGGCTCTATAGCTACCTCCCTGAGACAGAGAGTGTGACAGAACCCCCAAAATAGACATATATATGTGTATCCAACATATACACACGCACAGAGAAAGACATCCATGCTGGTGGACATGCTCTCTAGGTCATCCGACTGCATGTCATAAATGGGCCAATAGTCATTCTTCATCCACTTGGTTTTTCCTGGGTGAATGGCCACTCGTGTTACTGACTGAGAAAGGAAGTGAGCAGATGAGCCCTCAGCTCTGTCTCTGACAAGCACAAGCTTTTGCGCCATATTAAAGGAACCAGGCTCCAGGGAGGACACAGTCATGTTCATTAATCACCTGCTTTGCTATCAATGCAGATGCCGGAATTACAGAAAAGCACCGTTCACATCAGGAACCCAGCCAAAGTGGAAGAGATCCTCTGCGGCCTGATCAAAGGAGGGGCCGCCAAACTCCAGGTGAGGCATGGGGGGCCGTGATCATTTTGACCATCGAGTTCAGTCGCCCTGGTGACATGAGTGTTGAGTAAGAAACAGATTTAAACAACCAGCTCCTCACCCTGAGAATCCCAAAAACAGCTCTACAGTTGGTCCAAAGATCATTGGTATCCCTCAGTGGGAAACAAAAGTAAAAAATTAATAGATGTGAAATTAATTCAGTTTATCTTTGCTCTCAAAGGTGTAAAGTTAACTATTTGCCAAGACAGTCACTAAGCTCTTCCTTTCCTGGGCTCATAAAAAGATATGTCCAAAGGTTTTCGAGTCACTTTTTCCATCTTGGAATGAAAACACAGTTTGGTGGTTTTCATAACAAAGACAGTCCCTTGTAATAGGAACAGGTGGAGGACAGACGCAGTCCTGACCCATGTGGACATGCTCACTTTTCTTCAAATTTATGACCAAGTGATTTTGACCAGATGTCTGAAGTATCATTAAACCTGTAGCCATCAGTGTCACGGTTCGGCCTTTTCCCACTAATATAAATATATTCTTATTTTCCAAAGGCAAAAATCTCACCACAAAAAACCCACTTCAGATGAGTTTTCATTACCAGACTGAGTACTTTGAGGGGGTCAGTTTAGTGACAGGGTGCCCACTTTGAGTTCTATTCTTGGTGAGAAGATGAGGGGCTAGCCCCCTGGACCCCAAATAACGTTCTGTGTCCTGTCCCCCCTCACGGCCCCACTTATATTCTCTTTAGGCCAAGATTAGCGCATTTCTGAGCCCTCCATGAAGATACGGATGGACAGCTTCTCTGTTCCACGGGGAAGGGGCTTTAGAAATGTCTAGGGGGTGGGGGAGAGAGCAAAGGAAGATGCAGGACAGAGGAGGAACTAGCGTGTTTTATGTCCAAGATTTTTATTGTAGGTAATGCTTTTTCTTATTCCTCTTCTCTTACAGATAATTACAGACTTTGATATGACATTAAGCAGATTTTCCTACAATGGAAAAAGATGCCCAACATGTCATAGTAAGTTTGGGGTACATATGTTTAAAGAACTTTAGACGCTCAGGCTAGGTAAAAATTTATTCCAGTATAATTAGTAAACCATGGTGTGTGTGTGTGTGTGTGTGTGTGTGTGTGTGTGTGTGTGTGTGGTGTGTAAATGTGATTTTTTTTCCCCCTTTCTTTTGGGGTATTTTGATAATCACAAGAGATAATTGCTATTCCTTCATTATGTTAGTGGTCATTTATTGTACAATTAGGCCAAAAATAAGCATGTATAGATGACCTTTGCCTCTGCATTTTCCAGAAAGTAAACACACAAGCACATTGGCTGAAATCCAGAGTTTAAAATACAATGTTCATTGATCCTTTTTCACTGAAAGTGTTGGGGGCAGTGGCAGGGTGGGGAATAGGAAGGATGCTATGGGAGTAATAGGGATGGGTCGTAAGACTGCTGAAGGCCATTGAGCTCAGTAATGGAAATAATCCGTTACCAATGTACATCGCTGAAATGATGCATGAAAACTTCTTTTGTAATGGTGCCCAACTGGGTATGGGACCAAAGCGGAAGATTTCTTTGAGCATTTCAGCTTTGTCAAAGATATCATCTGACCCCAAGCCAGGAGAATTAGTGATTCACTGGAAAATCATTTGGTTTTCTCTTTTTAGATGTCATTGACAACTGTAAACTGGTTACAGACGAATGTCGAAAGAAGGTAAGTGGTAACCGTAACAACTGTCAGACCAAATTATTTTTCCTTTGTGTAGATGCTTTTCTGTAATTTGTATTTCTTATACATTTAGCCAGTTTTTTGGTCTTAGCATACTTTACTATAACAAATCTATTACCAGGAACTTATTCATGATGAGGGCAAAATCTGATAAAAATGGAAAAGCGCACCTGTATGCCGGTGCCTAAATATCCTGCAAAGTACAACAAAACCATTGGGGTCTGGGTGGCATTGGGGCTCTCCCCCTTTTGGGGGTATTCCTGTGAGCCAGTGTCCTGGGTCCCTTTTGGCAGCTGGTGAAGTCCACTGGTCCCTTCCCGGAAACCAGCTTTTAAAGGCATAAAATACCATACAGAGAAATACAAAGAAAACTACTTGTATTGAAATAAAGTCATTATTTTTTTAAAAAAGAACAAGTTGATTGACGCCCCCCACCCAGGTAAGAACCCTTTCCTTAAAGGATCCAGAAAACTGCTCAGGTCTCTCCTTTACTCTCAGTATTTGCATGTGAGTGTAAAACTAGTCCTAAAACCTCAATCTGAGCCAAGCTGAGTATTCTCAAATGAAATCCTAAGTCTTTTCATTATAGAACACGATTTAAAAATGAGCTACGGAAGTAAAAATCTTAACGTGAAGGAAGAAAGCTCGCTTTGGAGTAGAGCGCGCGTGAAATATTGATCAGCTCAGATCCCCACTTAGCACAGTGCCTGGCACATAGGAGGCACTTATTAACTGGCCGATGGCTTCATTTGGTGGGTTTGCTGGGAAGTGGTGCTTTACTCTGTTGCTTATAGGATAATCTGATTTTCCTTACATGTTTTAAAGTACCGCTGTATGATTGCCTCATATGTGTTGTTTTCTTTGGTACAGATTAATAACAAGACAGATAAAACTCTAGGGTCCCCTTTCACAATTCATTTATTGATTCATTTCCAGTTATTACAACTCAGGGAAAAATACTATGCCATTGAAATCGATCCAGTCCTTACCATAGAAGAGAAATACCCTTACATGGTAGAATGGTGAGTGGACATGTTGGGGGTGAACGGGTACAGATCGGGGCATGGGGACGAGCCAAAGGTCAGGAGGAAAAGAAATTCCAGCCACAATCAAGAACCTTTCCACCTATTTAAAATAATAATAATAATAATAATAATAATAATAAAGGCTAAGTTCCCAGAGGGGCAAAGACTCTTAGTCTAGAACTTTTTGTGCTTAATGTCTAAGTGCAGAGAAGGTACCACCTACCTGAGGTGGTAGTGAATGGGTGGGAGTTCCCCTTCACCAGTGAAATCCCAGGTTCAGCCCCATTCACTGTGCCTCATTTCCAACATGTCATAGTGTCACACGCAGATAGGGCAGGATTAATACTTTGTCAAGTCAATTAAGCCCCTACTATGTGCCAGGCACTGTGCTGAATGCTGGGGATTCAAAAAGAGGCAATTAGCACCTGCCCTGAAGGAGCTCACAGTCTATTGGGGAGATAACATCCAAACAACTATGTTTAAACAAGACATAGATACTGGAGAAATTGGAGTTCATCTCACCAAGAAGGCACTAGCCTTTTGGCAGCAAAACAAACCTACCTGGTCTTTTTTTTTTTACTGCTCACTAACCTTAAACAGTAGTCATTGCATTATACAAGACTCTCCCTATAAATATATCCAGTAATAGCAATAGTGGTTGTTATTCTTATCATGTGTTATAATAGCCAGCATATATACAGTGCTTTAATGGAATATAAAGAACTTTACAAATAATATTTGTAACAACCCTGGGAGGTAGGTGCTATTATTCTGGTCATTTTACCAATAAGGAAACTGAGGCAGACAACAATTAAGGTCACATAGCTAGTGAATGTCAGAGGCTAGATTTGAACTTGAGTCTCCCTGACTCCAGACCAGTGCTCTCTCCACTGAACCCACAGGTGCCTAAGAAGAAAGAATACAGGGCCGTGAATTCTGATGGACTGTGCGTTTCTCCTCTCCCATAAAGTCCAATGGCCTTAGTTTTCAGCTTCCCTTTCTGTAAGAGCAGGAGACCAGACCACATAATTTTTAAGGTCCTTCCACCTCCAAAACTGGAATGATTCTCTGAGACTTTCCTCCAGCTTTTCTTTATCTTTTAGAAAATAGAAAAGTAGGGGCAGCTAGGTGGCACAGTGGACAGAGCTCCAGCCTTGGAGTCAGGAGGACCTGAGTTCAAATCCGGCTTCAGACACTGGACACTTACTAGCTGCGTGACCCAGGGCAAGTCATTTAACCTCAATTGCCTCAGCCAAAAGCAAAAAAAAAAAAAAAAAGAAAAGAAAAATAGAAAAGTAGCAGAACCCCTGGTGTTAAATTTAATGCTTAACTTCAGAAAGTTCAAAGATAGGTTGTTAGCCTAAGTGTCTCAGCCAGAGGTGCCAAGTCCTGACCTCCTGGATGGCAGGTCTGGGAGACGTCCATCTAACCAAGTGGAAGCCACCGGGAGGGAGGAGGCTGGTTCTCCTGACGCAAGAGCAGTGACGTCCTCCACGTGGGCAGGTCAGGGAAAGCCTCCCAAAGATTATCAGAATCAAAGCCAGGGTTTTCTTGTTCTCGGGGGTAGGAGAGAGACTGCAGGGTCCACTCGGAGATTCTTAGAGAACAAGAGGGGACTTAGAGCTGGAAGAGCAAACTTGACGTTTTCCCCTTTTACCTTGAACCCAGGTACACAAAGTCGCATACGTTGCTGGTGGAGCAGGCGCTGCAGAAGAGCAAGCTTCAGGAAATCGTGGAAGAATCCGACGTGATGCTCAAGTAAGTTCAGCCATCTGGGAGGGCGGTTATGGGGAAGGCAGGACAGCGGAGGGAGGAACGAGCCAGCCTCTGAGGCAGGACCCACGTTCAGGTCTGCCCGCTGCACGTCCTGGCCCTGGGAGCCTGGCAGGTCACTTCAGCCGTCAGTGCAGTAGAGACTCCCAAGTATTTTACATGGTCTGCAGGTAAGATTGATTCTCCAGGATTCTCTAAGTACGCCGTCATGTCATCTGCAAAGAGGCCTAGTTTTGGAGGCAATGACTGCCTATCTTCATCCCTTCAATTCCTTCTTCTTCTCTTATTGTTAATTATTTCAGCTAGTTTTTTAGTTGATTCTCCAGGATTCTCTAAGTCTACCATCGTATCATCTACAAAAAGGGATAGTTTTGTTTCCTCATTCCTATTCTAATTCCTTCAATTTCTTTTTCTTCTCTTACTGCTATAACTGACATTTCTAGTCCAATATTGAATAATAGAGGTGATAATGGACGGCCTTGCTTCACCCCGGATCTTACTGGGAAGCCTTCAAGTTATCTCCATTACAAACAATGCTTGCACTTGGTTGTAGATAAATACTACTTATTTTAAGAAAAGCTCCACTTATTCCTATGCTTTCTTGTTTTTTTCACTCGGACTGGGTATTGTATTTCATTAAAAGATTCTTCTGCATCTATTAATATAATCATGATTTTTGTTGTTTTTGTTATTGACGTGGACAATTATGATCATAGTTTTCCTCATATTAAACCTGCCCTGCATTCCTGGCATAAATCCCACCTGGTCATAATGTATGATCTTTGTGATATATTGCCATAATCTTGCTAGTGTTTTATTTAAAATTTTTGTATCGACATTCATTAGGGAAATGGGTTGGTAGTTTTCTTTCTCTGTTTTTGCTCTCCCTGGTTCTAGGTATCACAACCATATTTGTGTCATAGAAGGAATTTGGTAGGGCACTTTCTTTACCTATGTTTTCTTTTTCTGTAAAAAAAAAAAATATCCTTAGCATTCTTTTCTTTTTAAATTTTGAGTTCCAAATTCCTTCTCTCCCATCTCCTTCCCCACTCACTGAGAAGGTAAACAATATGATATTAATTATCCATGTTGGATCATGTAAAACATATTTCCATATTAGCCATATTGCAAAAAAAAAGGGCAAAAAAAAAGTTAAAAAATTTACTCCAATTTGAACTCAGAGTTCCTCAGTTCTCCCTCTGGAGGTGGATTGCATTTTTCATCCTAAATTGTTTGGAATTGTAATTAGACTATTGTGTTGATCCAAGTAGCCAAGACTTTGACAGTTGATCCCCATTGCAACACGGCTGTTGCTGTGCACAGTGCTCTCCTGGGTCTTCTCACTCTACTTTGATTCAGCTCACATAGGTCTCGCCACATTTTTCTGAAACCACCCCCCTCGTCATTTTTTACATCACATCCAACCCCATCCGTCACAATCACACGCCATGACTGATGAGCACCCCTGGATTTCCAGTTCCTTGCTCTGAGTGTTTTCTGTACATACAGTTAAGTTACACTGAGTAAGTTACATTGCAGTGCACAGCTGAGTGTGTGTGTGTGTGTGTGTGTGTGTGTGTGTGTAGTCTTCCCTCTCTGAACCAGTTCCGATGAGAGTGAGGTCCAGGCATTGCCCACCACCCCACCCATCTTTGCCCCCACTCTAAAAGCTCTTCTTTGCATGCCTGTTTTATATGACATCATTTCCTCCGCTCTGTTTCTCCCAGTGCATCCCTCTTTCTCACCCCTTCACTTTTTTTTGGAGATCATTCCAGCGTAGTCTACTCACACATATGTCCTTTGCCTATGTAAACTCCTTTTAACTGCCCTAATAATGATGGTGTTCTTAGGAGTTACATGTATCATCTTCCCATATAGGAATGTAAACAGTTTAACATTACTGAGTCTCATAAGAGACATAAAATTTCTCTTTCATGTTTACCTTTTTGTGCTTGAGTTTTGTGTTTGAAAGTCATATTTTCTATTCAGCTCTGGTCTTTTCATCAGGAATGCTTGAAAGTCCTCTACTTCATTAAATCTCCGTTTTTCCCCCTAAAGTATTATACTCAGTTTTGCTGGGTAGGTTATTCTAGCTCCCTTGCTTTCTGGGATATCTTTTCATGAAGAAGCTGCTAAATATTGTGTGATCCTGACTGTGACTCCACAATATTTGAATTGTTGCTTTCTGGCTGCTTGCAATATTTTCCCCTTGACCTAGGGGTCCTGGAATTTGCCTATGATATTCCTGGAAGTTTTCATTTTGGGATCTCTTTCAGGAAGTGATCAGTGGATTCTTTCCATTTCCATTTTACCCTCAGGATCTAAGATATTGGGGCAGTTTTCCTTATAATTTCTTGAAATGTGATATGTAGGCTCTTTTTTTTATCATGGCTTTCTGGTAGTCCAATAACTCTTAAATGATCCCTCCCCCACTCTATCTTCCAGGTCAGTTGTTTTTTCCGATACGATATTTTACATTTTCTTCTATTTTTTTTTATTCTTTTGATTTTGTTTTATTGTTTCCTGATGTCTTGGTGAGTCATTAGTTTCCACTTTGCCAATTCTAATTTTAAGAGGTTCTTTTCTGCAGTGAAATTTTGTGCTTCTTTCACCATTTAGCCAGTTTTGGTTTTTAAGGTGTTATTTTCTTCAGTACTTTTTATGCTTCTTTTACCTAACTGTTTATTCTTTTCTTCGTAATTTTCTTGCATCACTCTCATTTCTTTTCCCAGTTTTTCCTCCACTACTCTTATCTCTTTCTTTTGCTCTTCTAAGAATTCTTTTTAGCCTTATGTCTAACTGCATTTTTTTTTAGGCTTTGATTGTAGCTGTTTTCACATCATTGTCTTCTTGTGTCTTGGTCTCCCCTGCCACCATAGTAGCTTTTTATGGTCAGGTTCTTTTTTTGTTGTTGTTGTTTGTTCATTTTTCCAGCCTGTTTCTTGACTCGGCACTCTATATTAAAGTTGGGCTCTGCTCACCTGGGATGAGGAGGCACTGTGCCAAGCTTCAGGCTGATTCTATGCTACCATTTTCAGAACCAGTTCTAGGAGTCTGCAAATTTGGGTGCTTTCAGCGTGGTGTGATACTGGGAAAGGTGTGGTCACAGCTCTCTTGGCCTGTGCTCTGGTCTTTACCTAGGAAGGGCCCCTGCTCCCCTGTGACTGAACACAAGGCCTCCTTTCCACCCTGAACTGCATACGGGCAATAGAGTATTAGCTGCACCCAGTGCCAGCAAAGGGTCCCCTGTAATTGCTTTGCAACCTGTTGTCTGACTCCCCTACCATCTGTGGGCCGAGAGTTCCTGAAGCTGCTGCTGCTGCACTCTAGGCCAGTCCCCACTCTGTGTCAGAGTTCCCCTGCCAACTTTCTAATTTGTCTTAGGCTAGAAAAATGTTGGCTATGCTGCTCCAAAATTAGATTTGAGGTGTTATTTTAAAGTTGTTTAAAGTTGTTTGGAGGGGAATGTTGAGAGTTCAGCTGGGCTGTTGCCTCTAATCCACTGTCCCCCCAGTTTTTACCTGTTGTTTTTTTGTTTTGTTTTGTTTTGTTTTTCAGATAGCTTATAAAGTTTTGGAATTCGTTGTTCTCTAAATGTTTGGTAGAATTTACTTGTAAATAAATCTGGTCCTGGGGATTTTTTCTTAGGGAGCTCATTTATGGCTTGATTTCTTTTTCTAAGAGTTATTTAAGTATTGTATTTCCTCTTCTGTTAATCTGGGCAATTTATAATTTTGTAAATGTTTATCCATTTCATTTAGATTATCAGTTTTACTTGCATGTAATTGGGCAAAATACCTCCTAATAATTGCTTTGATTTCATCTTCCTTAGTGATGCATTCATCCTTTTCTTTTTTTTTGTATTGGTAATTTGGTTTTTGTCTTTTTTTTTTAATCAAATCAACTCCTGGTTTATATATTTCATTGATTATTTTTTATAAAACTTGATCCTAGTTTTATTAATTCAATGTGTTTCTTTTTACTATCAATTTTATTCATTTCTTTTTTGAGTTTTAATATTTCTATTTTGGTGTTTAGGGATTTTTAATTTGTTCTTTTTCTAGTTTTTTTTTTTAGTTGCATGCCTAGTTTATTGACCTTCTCTTTCTCTTTTTAATTTATATAAGCTTTTAGAGATACAAATTTTCCCTAAGAACTGCTTTGGTTGCATTCCACAAATTTTGGTACATCGTCTCATTGTTTTCATTATCTTTAATGAAACTGTTGATTTTTTTATACTCATTCTTTAGAATTAGATTAGTTTCCAATTAATTTTTAATCTGTGCTTCCAAAGCCCTTTTTTGAATGTAATTTTTTATTGCATGAAGATCCCAGAAGGGTGCATTTAACATTTCTGCATTTGATTGTGAGGTTTTTATGCCCTAATACAGTCAGTTTTTGTAAAAGTGCAGTCTACAGCTTAGAAAAAGGTATACTCCCTTCTGTTCCTATTTAGTTTTCTCCAGTTCTTCTCAACTTCTTTCTTACATACTTTATAGTTAGATTTAGCTAGTTCTGGGAGGGGAAAGTCGGGCTTCTCCACTAGTACAATTTTATAGTCTCTTTCTTCCTGTAACTCATTTAACTTTTCCTCACATGCTACATTTTGAATAGCAGATTGCTTTAATTAGCAGAAAAGAGTGATGAGTCTTTCTCTGATTGTCCCTGGAAGCAGAAGTAGGAGCAGGTGGAACCTGAGGAAACATGGCCACCACTGAGAGCAGTGTGGGCGGCCTCGGCTGGTGGGGGGTTCCCCCCACCTCTCCTTGGGGTTCTTCACACTGCAAATCAGCTTTGAGGGGGAGGCTTTTCAGCAGACCAGAATGATGTCAAGGTCCTTTCCAGCTCTGGTTCTTTCAGTCTTATTTGACTTTTTGTGACCCCACTTAGGGTTTTTTTGGCAAAGATGTGTTTTGCCATTTCCTTCTCCTGCTCATCTTACAGAAAACTGAGGCAAACAGGATGAAGTGACTTGCCCAGGGTCACACAGCTAGTAAGTGTTTGAGGCCAGATTTGAAATCATGAAAATGAGTCCTCCTGACTCCAGGCCAACTGGCTACCTTGAATATTGGATATTGGGTCTCAATTTTGGAAAAGAAATTCTTGAGTTGGTATCCCCTCATTTTGTTCAGGCACCCATTTGCAGCTTTCTTACCAAATTAAAATCTTTATGGCATTATTCTTTTACGAAAGCTTTCTCACATCTGTCAGGGCCCGGACTCGGGGTCCTCAGGCCTCCCTGTGGCATGGAGGTGACCCCAGGAGGATTACACAGAGCAGCTGGGCCAGGCCCAGGGACTCATCTGATGGCCAAGGACCAGCCTGGCTGAGTGCAGGAGGACTCAGTCTGTTGTGGAGAGGGGAGGGTGGATTCCAGAAGCAGAGGAGTTGTTTGATCCCTGACCCCTAAAACTGCCTACTGAGGGGCACAGGCATGGTGATCAGCACTGGTGGAGGGAGTCCACTGAAATCAGAGATCTCTGAAGTGTGAAAACCAGATGAGGGTGAAATGTGTCTAACAGTAGAAGGGAAAGGCTTGTTTAACTACCCTTTGTCAATCGAAAATTGTTCTCTCTTCTGCATTCCTAATATTTTTTAGTGTTCTTGGGAAAACTAGCATATGTTAAAAGATTTATAGAATCATAGATTTTGTACCAGATCATTAAACAGGGCACAGCTTCAGGGGCAGACAAGGCAGCAGGCTTGTTGGGGTGGGAGGGAGAGAAAGAGAAAGGATGGAAAGAGAGAAAGACAGGGAGAGGTGAGAGAAAGGAGAGAGAGAGAAAGGGAGGGGGAGAGGGAGAAAGGAAAGAGAAAAGGAAGGAGGGAGGAGAAGAGAGGGGAGGGGGAGAGAGAGAAAGAGAAAGGATAGACATAGAGAATGGGAGAGAGGTGAGGGGGGAGGGAGGGGAAAAGAGAGAAAGGAAAGAGAAAAAAGAAGGAAGGAGGGAGGAAAAGAGAGAGAAAGAAGGAGGGAGGGGAGTAGAGAAAGGAGGGAGAAAAAGAGGACAAGGGGGAAAGAGAGAAAGGAGAAAGGGGAGAGAAGGGTGCAAGGGAGAGGGGGAGGGTTGGGAAGGAGAGGAGAGAGAGAAAGAGTCAGGAAAAAGGAAGGTGGGAAGGAGAAGGAAGGGGGGCAGAGCTAAGCTCCAGGTGAGGCCCAGCTGTGGCTGGGATGGTGAGCATTTAGCATGAGCTGTTGGGAGCTCGGAGATGTCGGCTTCCCCTCCCCCATAGTCAGTGGCTGTTCCAAAAGGTGTTGCCAAGGGCAACTGTCAATGAGTCATTTTTTTGTCACGTGCACCGTTAGCACAGCTAATGGCTTGTGGCCGTGGCAGGCTCCTGCCCTTCTGCAGAACGACCAAAGCCCTTTCTGGATGCAGTATTTTGTAGATGAATATGGATTGTAAATCACAAAAGGTTCCCAAAAAAATAGGCTCTCAACCTCCTGAGAATTATGGCTTGTGCCTTCCCTTTCACTCTGCAGAGGCAGTGAGCTGTACGGCAGCATTGGACTTGAAAGCCCGGGTTCAAGTCTGGCTGAGAGACCAAGAGGGACCCACTCACCCTCTGTGAGCGTCTGTGTAATGGGAAGTGGCTGCCCCTTAGGACTGCTGAGGGGGGTCTGACAGACAGAGAGAGGAGAGGAGAGAGAGAGAGAGAGAGAGTGAGAGAGAGAGTGTGTGTGTGTGTGTGTGTGTGTGTGTGTGTGTGTGTGAATGTGTGTGAAAACTGCTTGGTAAAATCTCAAGCATCATTCAGCCTGCATTAAAAAAAAAAAAAAAAAGATTTAATTACATAAAATCAATTCCGTCTCCAAACTTTGCAGGGAAGGATATGAACATTTCTTTGACAAACTCAAAGAATATAACATCCCCGTGTTCATATTTTCTGCTGGTATTGGAGATGTCCTAGAAGAGGTGATCCGCCAGGCCGGGGTCTATCATAACAATGTCAAAGTTGTGTCCAACTTCATGGATTTTGATGAGAACGTAAGTAGACTCCATTTCTCGAGCTGTGTGATATTAGGGAAATGGAGTCTGGGAGAGCTAGGGCCAGATACGATTTTTAATAAAGGAAATGCATCTGCCTGCTCGCCACCTAAAGGGCAGAAATCACCTGGGCCACGCTGGCGGTTTTGCCAAATAAAGATTAGTCATCTCTTGGTGCAATGTCAGCTCTGGAAAACTGTACCAAAGCTTTTTACATAATTAAAAAAAAGAGAGAGAGACTCGCCTTTTGTCTCTAAACTATAGATAAAATATGTCAGGGGTGAGATAGGAGAGCTTCTTTCAGAGGAGCTTACTTTCTTGGACTCAAGGAACTTGCTGCAGTTTGGGGAGGAAGGGAAGGGGGAGTTTCCCTGCTCTGAGACCTGGGTTCTTCAGTACAGGTGGACAAACCAAGGTAGAGAGAGATGTATTAAGCACTTACCATGTGCCTAGGCTGGGGGCATGCAGGCTAAATCCACAGTCCTGCCCTCAAGGAGCTTGCGTTCTTCTTGGGCAAGACACACCGCCAATCCCAGGCTGATTTGGCGTTCCAAGGGGGTGGCCGGTCAGTGGGATTCTGTACCTCTGATTCCCCCACAACTCCACCTCCTGTGAATTTGGGGTGATCTCTCTAAGTGCTTCGAGAATGACAGTGATACGGATGAAGGAGGCCAGCAGTTCCTGCGGGGTGGCTGTTCCCACCGTGCCTTGGTAGAGGCCAGGGTTCCTGGGGCTGACTCTCTCCTCGGTTAGCTAGTCCAGTCTCTCGTATCACAGAGCCCTTCCGAGCAGAATGGGCCTGCCTGACCTCTCCCCACATCCACCCACAAAATACTGCATCCCTCAAAAGCTGGGCTGTCCTCCAGAGCAGCAGAAGGGGAGCCCAGGGAGAAGGCGTCCCTCTGACAGATAACGTCTGCCTTTCTTTAGGGAGTGATTAAAGGATTTAGGGGCGAGCTGATTCATGTGTTCAACAAGCACGATGGCGCCCTGAGAAACACACAGTACTTTAAGCAGCTGAAAGACAACAGCAACATCATCCTGCTAGGAGATTCCCTGGGAGACCTGAGGATGGCGGATGGCGTGGCCAACGTGGACCACATTCTGAAAATTGGTTATCTCAACGATCGCGTGAGTCCCCGGAGCCACGCCGCTCCTCTGAGAACTAAAGCCCGGGTGTGACACGCGGGGTACAGGGAGGGCTCTGGCGCTCATGCCACGGAAGGGGCCATCCTGGGTCTCTGGGCAAGCCTAGATCTGACCTGCCGCCATCACTGCCCAAGGTCCACACATCCAAGACGTTAAGGCTTCAGTCAAGCAGCACGCATTTTGTAAGCACCTACTAGGTGCCAGGTCCTGGGATGCAAAGCCCCACCCTAAAGGATCTTACATCCTGTCGGGAAGACAACACAACGCCTATTAGTGATCACAGAATAGAGATACAAGATCAGTACCAAGTCTGGGGGGTGGGGCAGTGCACCAGCAGCTGGGGGGCCCCAGGAAAGGCTTTGTGAAGAATGTGGCTCTTGACCTGAGCCTGGAAGGAAGCTGGCATTTCCGAGAGGCCCAGGTGAGGAGGGAGGGCATTCCGGGCATCGGGGTCAGCCAGGGTGAAGGTGTGGTGGTGGCAGATGAAGCATCCTGTGTGTAGGAGAGTGAAAAGGCACCAGCTTGGCTGGAACATGTGGGGCAAGGAGAAGGCTGGAAAGGTCGGCAGGGGCAGGGGCTCGGGCTCGTATCTTCCCCCTTCTCCACTCCCACAGCCCCTCCCGCCCCCAGGTTGGGTCCTCCACTCCTCCTAGCAGGCCATCCTCTGCTCAGCTAGGGAAAGTTATTTTCCTTAAGCTAGTGTAAGCCTGATTCCCTCTGACCTGGAGGACGGAATAGAAAATCCTCTTCATGACATCAGAAGCCCTTCAGGGCCCAGCTCCAGCCACCCTGGCTGCCCACATTGAGCAGGAGGCCCTTCTAGGGCCCTTGGGCACTGCCTTCCCCTGTGAGACTGGGCTGCCACGTGGCCCCATCTCTGTCTTGTCTGGGCATGGATGTTTGTGCATTGTCTCTCTCCATTAGACTGTGACCTCCCTGAGGGCAGCGGCTGTTTTTGCCTTTCTTTGTAAGGCGCCTAGCACTGTGCCTGGCACATAGTAGGGCTAACAGACTGACTGACTTGTGTCTCCAGGGCTTAGCACATAGTAAGTGCTTCATAAATGCTTGTTGACTGACAGCAGAGGAGTTTACATTGGATCCCCAGCCTTTCCTAGCTATTTTTTAAAGATGGCGGCAGAGTCGAGGCCTCTCATCCAATGAAGGCCGAGGTGGTTCCTGTGGAAATGAGAGGAGGGCAGAGCTGTGTTCTCCTTGGGGAAGGTTGCTCAGTGTCTCTAAACTCCAATTTTCCCCCGTTGCCACGATGCTGATGTTCAGTGACTGGACAGCTTTGGGGCCAGTCACCGCCCAAGCAGAGGGCTAGGAGGCCCAGCCCAGCCTGCCCAGCCACTCACTGTCTGGTATCTCTTTGCTTGGTCTCTAGGTGGATGAACTCTTGGAAAAATACATCGACTCTTATGATATCGTTCTGGTAAGAGAGGAATCCCTGGCGTTGGTCAGTTCCATCCTCCAGAAGATCCTATGAGCAAGCAACCGGCAGGAAGCCTTCCTCCCTGAGGACCACCAGGCAGAGGTACAGCTCTGGCCTCCCTGGGCGGCCTCGCTACTCACTGGCCTCCGGCCCCGGGAGGCTCGTCTTCCCATCGCTTGACTACCCTCTGATCATATTCCAAATAACATAGTGACTCCATCAAGTGGATGCTTTGAAATAAAAGTATTTTCACCTTTTACCACACTCTCAACCACACATTGCAAGAATTCACAAAAAGACCCAAGCCCCTTGAAAGCCAGATTGTGGAAACAGATGCCCCCTTCCCCTCCCTCTCCAGAAGTGGATTGCATTTCCTTTTATCCTGGATGTGTTAAGGAATGTTTTACTGTGTGCTGTGATTCCCAGGGCCTGAGTCGTCCATGCTGTTCCATCAGATGATGTGCAGGCTTTTAAGCGTTGCCTTTTTTGTACATCTGGCATATTCCCCCACCGATCGAGACAGCCTTGGCGAGGCATCCAAACTGCAGCCTGCGGCACAATTGACTCTGAGGTCGTGTAGCTGACCCTCGGGGTAGCCTGACTCTCTGCCTTTGGTCAGTCATTCTGGTGAGATGTGATTGCCCACAACAGAAAGGCTGGCCCGTGGTACCTCAGGGGAAAACCCTGGGGCTGGGCCTGTGTCTGTGTCTGGGTTTAGATGCGCACACCCAACAACCAGCAGTTTGAGGTGGCGGGAAAGGGGTTCAAATTCAACTCTTGATGGAAAAGAAAACGACCAGTGTCTCTGGAGTCAGTGGCTCTGGGGCTGGAAAGGACCCTTAGAGACCCTCCCATTTTACTGAGGTGGCATCTCAGGGCCTCAGGGAGTGCCACGTGGAGCCAGGCTGTGCCATCGGGGCCCCCACACCCAAAGGGAGCGCGCTTCCCTCTCTGCTGGAGTGGCGGCCAGCTTGTTAGACTGAACCATTTCAGAATTCGGACCAAGATTCTCTAAGCAAGGTGCGGTCACCCGTTCCTGAAAAATAACCATCATGGGGAGGGTCAGGAGGAGTCCAGAAGTTTCTAAGTCCTTTGAAATTCAACAGTAGCTTTTCCCAGAGAAACAACGCTCTAAGTGGTGGTTAGGTTCCCAAATCAACGCCCATGATCATGTTTAGCTGTAACGTGCCTGACATACCGTCCATTGGCCATGGAAAGAGGTAGAGGAGGTACTGTCAGAACACCTCCGAACAGGGCAGAAAATCAATTTAAAATATGCCTATCTTGAGTGTTAGCGCATCGGACGGGATCTCACGATGACAAACGTATATGAAGTGTGCATGTTGAACGTGGTAACCCTAGGCTCTGTCTTCCCTGCGTGGATAAGTGTGGCTAGCCCTGGAGAGGGACAGAGCGCTCCCCTCCCGGCAGCCCCAGAGGGGCAAGCCGCCATTTTGGAGGGGAGTGGAGGGTGTCAAGCAGAAGCTTGTTGAGGCAGTGACTGAAGGGAGTCCTAGACAGGGTCAGGTTGGAGTGGCCTTCAAGGCTCCACACTCCCCTCTCTCGCCTTTCTCCTTCATCCAGCTGCCAGAATCCTTTTGCTCATGGCACTGCTCTGCTCAGAAAAGTCAGTGGCTCCCTAGGACCGGCAGAGGATGGGGGGAATTCCTTTGGTCTTCATAGGATCATCTGCCTTTATCTGACAGAGGAGGAAACTGAGGCCCTGGGAGGCGAAGGGACGTCCTTGTCCCAGGTCCCCACTAGGATCCCCGCTCTCGAGCTGATATTATCATTCAGACGTTTCAGTCGTGTCCCACTCTTCGTGACCCCCTCTGGGCTTTTCTTGGCAAGGATACTGGAGTGATTTGCCATTTCCTTCTCTAGCTCATTTTACAGATGAGGCAGCTGAGGCAAACAGGGTTAAGTGACTTGCCCAGGGTCACACAGTCAGTGTCTGAGGCTGGATTTGAACTCAGGAAGTTGAGTCTTCCTAACTGCAGCCCCAGCACTCTGTGCACTGTGGCGCCACCTAGTGGCCCCCCTCTAATCTACCTCCTTGTTTTTGAGATGAGACAGATGTTTCCCAGGGAAGGGCTTACTTGCTCAGGGTCCCTCAGGTAGTAAGCATCAGAGGTGGCCTTTGAACTCACATCCTGGACTCCAGAGCCACCATTCTTCCCACTGTACCACACTGCCTCCTAAGGTCCTCCAAGATCTCATGCAAACCTTAGGTCAGCACTGATTAAGTACCTACTGTGTGCTCACCCTGCCCTCAGAAGCTACCACTCTTGACTGTCCATTTCTGGAATCTGCTCCCTCCCCCTCCCTGCCCAGTGGCCCCAGGGTCAAGGTCAGAGCCCCACAGACCAGGGGCTCCCCAGTCCTCCCTGGTGGGAGAGCATTTCTAGCACGTCACTCCCCTGCAGCCTTTTTCTCAAGGTGAGCTCTCTGTGAGGAGCTGGGGCTTCAGAGCTTTCATTCCCAGGTCCGCCCTGAACACCCAGATCACTCTGCATCTCAGCCGCTTCATCTGTAAAATGGGCTTGGTGATAATAATTATAGGCCCTACCTCACAGGTAAACCCTGAGGGCCAAAGAAAATGGACCTTAGGTGGAGGGTGGGGGAAGGGGTCAGTGTAAACAGCACAAGAGGGGAAGCCTGGTCTACACGAGCGAGCGCCTCGTACAGGGGTGGATAGGGCTGAGGAGAGCACAGTGTTAGTGTCCAGAAGGCCTGGATTCGAATCCCACCTCCGACATTTACTACTTCTGCTGCATCTGTAAAACAGGTTTGAGTCCCAAGGTCCCTTCCAACCATCAGTCTTCAACCCTGCCCCAAGTTTACTCAGAGACAGCCCCTCGTGCACTGGAATTTGCAAAGCACTTTAAGCATCTTATCTCATTGGACCCTCATAGTTCCAGGAGGCACCAGGAAGGACGTGATGGTTTGTTCAGCCACGTCAGACTCTTTAAGACCCTGTTTGGGCTTTTCTTGGCAGAGTTACTGGAGCAGTTTGCCATCTCCTTCTCTAGGTTATTTTACAGATGAGGAAACTGAGGTCAACGGAGTTAAGTAACTTGCTCAGGGTCACACAGCTAGTGTCTGAGGTCAGATCTGAACTCAGGTCTTCCTGACTCCGGGGCCTGTGCTCTGTCCACTGTGCCGCCTCGCTGCCCCACTAAGAAGGTATTTGGTGGTTTTTTATTCCCATTTTTACCGATTCTCAGAAAAGGTGAAGGGACTTTCCCAGGGGCACAGATGCTGGGGGCAGAATTTGAACCCAGTCCCTCCTGCCTCCAAATGAAGGCTGTTTAACCCATACCACCCTGTGCTGTTGCACACTGGCGTTCTAACTGCAGATCATGTTTGTGTATTTGTTCAAAGTGGAAGCCTAATTGAAAAGAATAAAGATGGCATGTGTTTCGCTGTGTCTCATTCATTGACTGGCATTCGCTTCTCCTCCCCTCCCACCTTTTCTTCTGAATTTGGGTGATTTTGCCCTAAAATGAGGACAGTGGGTTGAGGAGTCAGAGCTGAAAGAAACCAAGTGGACCAATTCCCCATTTTATAGAGGAGAAGGTTGAGGCCTAGCCCAAGATCACCTGATAAGTAGCAGAAGTAAGATTTGAACCCAGGTCTTCCATGCTGCTGTCCTGGAGCGGGTCCTTCGGCAGGGTTCCAGGTTTCCCATTTTCATTTTACTCAAGAGAGAAGGCTTTTCTTCCAAGGGCCGGACAGGCCCGAGCCTTGGCCTCGAGCCCCATGAGCCGCTCTCACCATTCCCAGGTGAAGCGGGCCAGGCCACGGAGAAGGAAGGAGCTCAGAGCCAAGGCATCCACTACTCTGCGGGATTAGTAACTGTCCCAATCCACCTCCATAATAAGTCTGAAGCTTTTAGAGCTGCAGACAGAGGGGGCCTTCCAGGTCATGGCGTTTCATCCCCTCGCTGTCAATGACAAAACACGGGCCAGACTAGCTGAGCAACTTATCCAGGGGCACACAGCAAACCTGTATCAAGCACCTCCTATGGGCCAGGCACCGGGCCAAGGGCAGCAAAAGGAAAGGCAGCCCCTGCCCTCAAGGGGCTTGCATTCTAACGGAAGAAAGCAGGGAGCTAACAAGTGAGGGGGTGTACGTACCCTCCCAGGTGCCAAGTGCAGACTCAAAAGCAGAGCTGGAGGACGCACAGCCTCATAGGGTGCAGGTTGCTTCCCTTCTCTCCCACCAACGAGAGGCTCCGTTTACACCCCTAGACCCTGCTGATCCAGGCCACCCCCAGGCACACCCAGCCCCCTCTTCTCCTTCCCTCCCCTTTTCCTGAAGCCACCACAGTGTTCCTTCGTGAAGATGAAGTTTCCCTGGAGTCAGGCAGCAAAGACAACTAGAGGGGGCTGCCTAGGAGTCCCCGAGAGGATCTCCCCCCTCCACCTCTGCCCCCCACTCCCTTGGGGGTCATGACCCAAATCCCATCCTATCTTCAATAACATTTATTAGTTCAATAAATATTTACCCAGCACCTACTATGTGCCAGGCACCGTGCTAAGCACTTGGGATACAAAAAGAGGCAAAGCCGGGCCCTGCCCTCACGGAGCTCACCATCGAAGAGGGCAAACTGGAAGAAAGACCAGATGAAGAAACTGAGGCTCACCAAGGCTAAGTGACCTGCCCAAGGTCACGCTGGTATGGTCCTTTTCCAGTTTGGCATGAGCATTGAGCATAAGTTCTTTGAGAGCAGGGCCTGTTTTTATCTTTGTGGCCCCAGTGTGGTACAATGGGTAGAAGCAGCCTCAGACACAGAAAGACCTGGGTTCCAGTCTCACTCCTGATGTGCCGATGGTGACTCTGGGCAAGTCGCTGGCCCCCTCAGTGCCCTAGGCAGCTCCAAGCAGCCCCATGAGGGTCCCCGCCCCGGGCCCTCTGCACACTGAGGCAACCCCACAGGTTCACACTGTCAGCGCCCGCATGGGGGAGGCTCAGGGGAGCTCTGAGGAGCCGTATCGAGTGACTGTGCCGAAAGGAGATTATTAAAGCAGCCGTACATGAAGGATGACGGGAGAGAGGGACGGAGGCAAAGGGAAGGGAAGAGAGGGCACCGCTCGTGGGAGGTGGGCAACGCTAAATGGCTCCCAAGCTCCTGTGAGGATGGAACCTAAGACATGGGGGGGATGTGGAGGGGCTGGAGGAGGAAGAAGCAGCCGCCGGCCCTCCAGAGAACAGTTCAGCAGAGCCCACGAGCTCCCAGGGGACAGGCCGCTCTTTGTTAACCTGTCCCGTTCCTGGGCTGTGAGGCACTTGTCAGAACCAGTGACCACCGTCCCCTCCTGGTGGGCCCCGCTAGCCCGTCCAGAAGGAAGCTGTGCCGACCATGGGAGGCAGAGTCTCAGAGCTCAGCATACGCTGAAAGCCAGGAATGCTAAGGAGAGAAATTAATTTGGGAAGTGACCCGCTGTGACTGCCTTTTCCGGACCACAGTACAAAAGGCGACGGCAGATTCCTGGCCAGAGAGGGAGGCTGGGGAGAATGTGCCGGGGAACCTGGGTCCCAAGGTTCTCGGATGGTGGATGCCCGCCTCTTCCCGCTGCCTGTCCACTGCCCAGAGGGGTCACTCAAGCTGCTGGGGTCCTTTCTAGCTTTCTCCGACATTAAGGAGGATTCCAGGGGGACACGTGTGGTGCGTTGGAATCACAGCGCCCGCATTCAAATCCCTGTTCTAGGCCTGTAACCGTGTGAGCTCACCTGAACTCTTAACATAACCTTCTCATTGGCATCTCCCCGCCAGAGCTCTCATCCTCCATTCCCTTGACAAAGGTATTTTCCTAAAGCAAGGATCTGACCACCACAGTCCCACCCCATAAACCACAGTGGCTCCCTCATCACCCCTACACCCCACAATCCATCTGCCCAGTTCCTCACACTGGCTTCTATTCCTCATGCCCAGGACATTTTCTCTTCTCACTCGAGCCTCAATTTCCCTGGCTCCCCCCAAGATTCAGCCCAAGTTTCATGTTCTACAGGAGGCCTTTCCTGGCCCCTCCTGATGCTGGGACTTTCCTCTACATCGTCTTCCATCCGCTCTATAAACATAAGGGATTCCTAACCTGGGGTCTCTGGATGGCCAGGGGAGCCATGTGTGGGGATGGGGGAGGAATGGGTTACATCATTATCTTCATTGTTCTAACAGAAATTGGTCATTTCCTTCGATCGTTTAAAAACATTATTCTGGGGAGAGGTCCGCTGAGGGTGAGGGGCTCTGCCCAAGGGGTCCATGTACAAAAAAAGGTGGAACTCGCAATCCCATTCTTGCATGCATTCATCTAATTCAGCGTCTCCCCCTTAGCCCGCAAGCCCCTTGAGGACAGGTTTGCCTTTCTGTGTATCCCCAACACTTGGCACAGTGCCTGGCACACAGAAGGTGCCTGATAAATGCTTGTTGACTGACACGCCCCATTGGGCCTCATCTGCAAAGGGAGGGGGTTGCACGTGGAAGGCCCCTGTTCAGCTCCAGAACTGGGCTCCACACGAGTTATCCCATCCCCTCACCACACGCCCTAGCCATCTTTTTCTCTTCTTACGAAATCCTTTACTCCAGTTCTTGGTACCCATGAAAGCCAGCTCCGTAAACATCAAGGGGAGCTGTCTTCCCTTTCGCCACTGTGCTCCCAGGCTGTCTGATGTGGCTTCCCCTTTAAAGGCCTCTCCTGGCACAGGAGAAGCCCTAGGCCTCATTTTAACGGTCTTCATTTAAAGCAAAGCCTCTCCTGCCTCTATAAAGCAAAGACATCGCTAGAGATCTGTGCCCTTGGGAGAAAGAGATGGCCACCAGCATCAGAGGTTTGCCTTCTATCTGAAACCAACTCCAAGAGGGAGATGGGCGGCCTCCCCCTGAAGCTTTGAGGAGTGGGTTTCGGGCATTGTATTCTCTTAATTAGAACCCTCTGAGTTTCCAGGGAAGGAGCCTTCAAGAGAGAGAGCGAGCCTCGGCATCTGCAGAGGGCCCCAGGGAGAGCAGCCCCCCTGCTTCGAGCCTGGGATGCTGTCTGAAAAACAAACCCATCTCAAAGGGAAGGAGACTGGGCTCTCTCTCCTGCCCCCCCCACCTCCTTTTTTCCAGATGATCCAAACAGCTCTGCCAGAAATCCAAGTTTTCTCTGGCTGAAGTAAAACAAAAATGCAGCTTTCTCAGACCAGCGCTGTGAACGTCAATGAGGGCCGGTTTCTCTTTGTCGCTGCACCAAAATCCACTGGCATCTACAGACATATTTAGGATCATGAAAAGTAGGAAATGGCAAGGCAGGACTGGAATGCCGGTTGTCAGACCCCAATCCAGGCACGCTTCCCACTGTACCACTCCACCTAGTTTCCTATTTATTCTATAAATATCCTATTTATTCCAAACTTGAACTGTGGGCCTGAAAATCATAGGACTTTAGAAATCATCTGGCCCTTTTATAGATGAGGAAACTGAGTCCCGGAGGAAGGAAGCCACCCTACCAGCAAAGGGCAGAGCCAGGCTGACAGCCCACTTCCAGGGTCTGTTCTTAAGGGTAATATCTTGGGAAACCCAGATCCAACGGAGAGGCTGAGTTGGTGATGAGCACGCAAGGTCCGAGTTCACCCTGCTAGGCAAGAGCTGGCATCTGTAGAGAGCTTTACAGTGGCCACGGGTGGGCACAGTGGGCATGGTGGGAGGCGCTGTGACGAGGGAAACTAAACAAGGCCATGTGGCACAGGGGAGTGAAGACCATCGGGACCAAGCCCCATTTCTCCTCCAGACTGGGCGCCATTCCTCCCTGTGGGCCTGTCTCTGTATTTGTAAAACGAGGGATCCTACAAAATAACCCCAAAGACACGATGTCCTCGGGTTCAAAAAGGTCTCGGCTATCAGTGAGGCCGCCTCCCTGCCCTCACAGAGCTCACTGTGGAGGGGGAGAAAGCACCAAACAGCCCTCAATGACTCAGTGTGGCGGAGCCTGGGGGGAGGCGGGGCAGAAGCAAAGGCCAAGGAAGGACAGACATGGTCCAGGAGCCGCGAATGAGCGCTGCTTAAGTCACAGTGAGACCCAGGAAAGATTTTAGCTTAAAAAGGCCAAGGTCTCCCACTGCATCCTGGGCCGTCTCCAGTCGTCCTGATCCGTATCTGGCCCCTGGACCTGGATGGCTCTGGAGGAGAGGGTGAGGCTGGTGACCTTGCACAGCCCTGCCTCCCTTAAGTGCAATGCCCTTGCATGTCACGGCGTCACTCCCTCCCTGAGAACGAAGGACAGGCAGCAATGGGGTCCGCGAGCTAGGCCTCGAGGATGGGGCAGGAAGGGATGCCCCCTCCCGTGGGCACTGGAAGGAAACCCCACAGAGGAGCAAGTCTCTTAGCTGTTCCTTTTTATCACGCTTTGTTCATTGCTTTCTAAGGAACCAAAATGACCAGAGTTCCAGACCAAGCTTCCAGGGCTCAGCAACTCTGAAGAGGGCTCCTGCTCACTGACCTTACACAAATACTCTGATTGGTTCCATTGAGTATCTCGAGCCAATCGTAATAACTGAGAGAGCCAGCCGAGAGTGCTGGGCGGGGCACAATGAACACGGAAAGAGGCTGCGGGAGCCATGACCGGGAGGCCCAAGGGTCTGGGCTCACCCCTCTCCAGACTCCCCCCATGCTGCAGAACAGGGCCTGCCTTCTCCTGCCCTCGCGCCTTTGCTCAGGCTGTGCCCTCTGGAATGCCGGGCCACCGGGAGGCTAAATGATGGCCCCACCTCACACAGCCGTGCCTGGGGCTTCTGTGCTAAGCTCTGTCCTCGCCCTCCTCAGCCCCCCCACAGATTGTGCCCCGTCGCAGAAGGCCTCCCAAGAAGACACACAGCCACCAGAGAACTTCGTTCACTGTTTTATGTAACAAAAAATCTGTCCTGAGCCCGCGGGGCACGGCCCGTGCCCAGCACTCTCTTGGTCTGCTCTCGAGCTACACTGGGACAGAACGCCGTCACACAGTCAGATGAAGCAGTGGCAGCGGCCAGTGCTCTCGCCCGATGAGATACCTGGGCATCTCACTCCATGAGATGAAGAGGCGGGCACAGCAGAAGGGTCAGGAATCATTCACACTTGTCAAAGAGAAGCGGCTAATGAGGACAGGCTGGCGTGAGGGCCAAGGGCTTCCTGCGCCGGACAGACGGGCACCGGCAGGCGGCCGGAGTCTGTGAGCTTAGACCGAGGGTCCCCCAAGTCTTGGTGCAATCGGAAGCGTGCACTCAGCCTTGGGGGACACTGATACCTGCGTCTCCCCAGAATCGGCTGCCTCTGTCATCCCTGGACTTTATCTTGTGCATTTAACAACAGGCTTGTGAGGAGGGGTCCATCGGCTTCCGGGGGGCTGGGGCACAGCAGGGGGGAAGCAGCCCTGCTCTATAGAGCAGGGGAAGAGTACTCCAGCCCCAGGATTCCCCACCCATCACTGGATGACCACGAGAGGACGGCCTGACCTGCAGGACGTAAGGACTGAGGAAGCCACGGGGCTGCCGAAGGGGACGGCAGCGGGCAGACTCTCTGGGACCCGGGACCGGGATTCCAGGCTCTGGGGGGGCTGGCTGATGGCCTGGAAGGGGCTCTCTTCTGCTGACTTTATACATCTAGAGAAACTTCTAAACAAATAGAAACTGGAAGGTAGAAAACAAAAGCAAAACAGTCTTTACACAGTAGAACTCGGGGGCTGATGCCCTCTTCAGCGGGCCCTCCTCCCCATGCCCAGCCGCGAGCTGCGAGCCGTGCCGTGGAGGTGACAAAGCGGCCCCTCTCACTCGGTCACAGCTCGTCATGTCTGGCTTCCTGGTCCTTCAGCTTAAATTCTTCGGCCGTGACTTTGCCGTCTCCGTTCCGGTCCTGGTTGGTGAACATGTTTTTCACAATCATGTCCGCATCAAAGCCGGGCGCGAGCTTCCCCTTGCCAGACGCCACCTGGGCGTGGATGTATTCTGAGAACTGCAGAGAAAAGGGGGGGGGGCCTTTGTTCTGTGGCCACAGATGTGCCCCCCCGAGCCCCACCCCTCCGGGTGGGAGGACAAGAGCTTGGGGCCAAACCCTGCTCCCAGAGCCTCGGTTTCCTCATCTGTAAAATAAGGGGTGGCTCTCGCTCTCCAGGCCTAGGTGAGGAGGCGGCCCACGGCAGAGGGACCGCTCTCCTCCTACTCGGTCCCATAAGACAGCTGCCAAGGGCAAACTCAGGTCTCACGACAAGAGAAACGTCCTTGTCAGCATCGCCATCCAGGCATGGAGCAGGCTACAGCCCGGCCCTGGAGGCCTCCCCCACGGGCAGCCCACCCAGTTACCTCCTCCAGAACAACCTCTCCATTGCCATTCTTGTCGATTTCTTCGAAGAGGTTGGGGGACACCTCCTCGTTCCAGATAAACATGTAGCCTTCGGGCAGGCCGGACACCAGGTCAAGAAGTTCAATGTCAAAGACCAGCACGGCACTCCCTGGCACCTCTCCCGCTGTGAGAACAAAGAGGCCCCATCAGGACTGCCTGCCCCAGGGGCACAGATGTAGTCAGCCACAGGAAGTTCTGGTGTGGAAACTCCTTCCACAGCTGAGGTAGCTTATAGCAAAGTCAGGAAGACCCAAGTTCAAATCCGGCCTCAGACACTTATTAGCTGTGTGACCCTGGGCAAGTCACACAACCTCTATCTGCCTCAGTCTCCTCATCTGTAAAATGGAGATCATAATAGCACCTACCTCACAAGGTTGTTGTGAGGACCAAATGAGATCATATTTATAAAAGTGCTTAGCACATAGTAGGTATATATATATTTGTATATAAATGTTTCTTCCCCTCCCCCAATGCAAATCACAACCAATCTCTGTCCCAGAGAGCTGCCAAATGCATGCAGAGATTGAGTGGATTCCCTGGGGTCCCAGAGCTAATAAATATGCCAGGTCTAAACCCACATCTTCTGGACTCCAAGCCCAGAACTCCACCTACTAAGCTGTGTTCCCCACAAGTAGCGGCATCTGGTAAGTGTCTGTGAGGTACCAGGCCCATGCTAAGTGCTGGAGAGATGAGGCCTAACTGACCAGGCCTGGTCCCCCAGGTGCTTACACTCTGACAGACCAATTAATGAAACAGGATCACACGAAGACCTAGGGCATTCCTTCAGAAGGACACGACCTTCCTAAACCAGCAAGAGGGACGCCCCAGGCCCTCCTGGGCGCCATGGCTTGGACCTCATGGGGCCATTCTCAAACAGGCCTCAATCTTCCAGGATTTGTTATTTGAATAGAGAATGTTTGGGAGCCAAAGGCCTTCCATGGTCATGGACCCACAACTCTGGGCATGAGAGGGGCTTGGCCACATGGCATCCCGCAGGGATCCCAGGACTGCCTGCACCCCGGCAGCTGGTCAGGACTGTGGCTTCAGCTGAACACACTCTTTTTTCAAAGGGCCAGCATCGACAGCATCTACAGGGCAAGGCTTCAGAAAACTCATCTTAACCAAGTGCTAGATATTTTTACTTTCAATTTTAAATGGAAAATAAATTAAGATTTAAACATAATACCCCCTTCGCCTTCAGAAAGGAATGAACAAAGTGATAAACTGGGATGACCTCCTATTTCTTCACTCACCCACTCCAGCCTCCCCATAGCCAAGGTGGGGGGGGATGACGACCGTCCGCTTTTCTCCCACACACATGTCTCGGAGCCCCATGTCCATCCCCAGCACAACCTGTCCCGATCCCAGAACGATATTATAGGTCTTGCCCAAATTAAGTCTGAAAAATGAAACAGAATATTCTATGTTGGCAACTTGTAAATCTGTTAACAAAAAATCCAACTCTGCGGCGAGCACTCCTCCGTCATTGTATGTGACGCTGTCCTCAGACCCAGTCGACACCGAGCTAACCCCCTGATTTGGGGCCCCCTGCTCCTACAATGACACCCCCCTTCCCCTGAGGAGACCAGGGCCCAAGCACATGGGCAGAAGCCCAGGGCTCCCTCCTCCTTTTCTCCAGCATGGGCCTCAGTGCCATCTCATGAGGCTGTGCCATAGGGGCCAGGGGATGCCCCCAATGCCAGGGGGGGCTCTGCACCGGTGGCCCTGGCCTAGATCACGTCTAAGTCAGTGACCCAGGCTCCTATGCTTTGGGCTCAGGGTTGGGGAACACGACAGTCATGCAGGGGAGGTGAGGGGGCAAAGAGAGGGCTGGGCCTCAGGGGTTCATCACACAGGGCTTTGGGGGGTGGTCCTTTTTGGACAGATGGAGGTCCCTCTAGCACTGAAAGTCTGGCATCCCGCAGGACGTGCCCAGGCCTCCTGGCCACAGGACACACCCTGCCTGCCTCAGGCTACAACCATACCTCTTCAGCCCCCAAAGCAAGAAAAGGCTGCCAGCCTCACAGTGCAGCCAGGGCACAATGAGGAGAGCACTGGCATTGGAGGCAGGAAGATCCAAATTCAAATCCTGCCCCTGGCCCTTCCTTCTGTGTGTCTCCAGGCAGTCACACAACCTCTCTCAGCCTCAGCTGCCCAGTCAGTAAAATGGGAATGATAAGAATACCCGTGAAGTTCAAGTGTAAGTGCACATGTGCAGTGCTGCAGACCTCACGCTGCTGCCTCATCGCTGGCTGTCCTATCCCTCATCCCCAGACCCTCAGAACAATGTGCACGTCCCTCCAATTGGTCAGTCACTCAACAACCATTTATTAGACACCTACTCGGTGCCAGACACCATGCTGAATTCTGGGGATTCTAATGGAAGTGACAACATGTAAATTAGAGCACAAGCTCCCTGAGGGCAGGGGCTGGTTTTGGCTCTTTTTGTATCCCCAAGGCTTAGTACAGTGCCTACCACATAGCAGAGGCTTACTAAATATTAACTGAACGAATGAATGTAAATAACCAGATGTATAGAGAGTGGTCATGGGCCAAGGGAGGTCATCGTACCTGCAGAAGGTGGGGTCAGAGCTGAGTCTAGAAGGAGGCCAGGAAAGCCAAGAGACAGAGGAGGGGGAAAAGAGGGAGGACCCCAGGCCTGGGGGACAGCCAGCACTAAGGCCCAGCACTGTAGGTGACGCAGCCAAGCATCCCTCCCAACATGGCGGAGCCCTCCTCCTTCTCCTCCTCCTCTCCTGCCATGGCAAGGACACCAGAGGAGCCCAGCACTCCCTCCCATGCTGGGGGGCCAGCCCGCCATCTTTGTCCACTGAACATTTCTCCGATGACATCCTTTCCTCCAGGTCTTCTGGGCAGCATGTATGGCCCTCTGCCGCCTCTCCCCATGTACCCCACCACTGTTCTCCTGTGACCTCCAAAATCTCTCATGCACAGATTCACAGCTACACAAGAGGGGCAGAATGCTGGAGGTAAACATTGCCGGGCAGTTCCCCAAAGGCCTGACTTGTCCATCGGCAGTGCTAATGGACACGCTCCGCAGGACATCCAAAACTGGACAACAGGCCTCTGGCCTTTCCTCGGGGGATGGTCAGGCCAAGCTCCTTTGACTGGTTATGGACTCGGTGGAGCGAGCCCAACGTCCTCCATGACCTCGTGGTGCCTGGTCTCAAGGAGCCCCCTCTGAGCCCTCACTGTGACGCGGAGGCAACCTCAGGTTCCTGCACACTAGACCATTGGGGTGTAAGCTCAGGCATCACCTAACCTGCTGAACAATTTCATGTGTTCCCAGACTCAGGCCAACTCTGCTTTCCAAGGCCCAGTCTGGGCACAGAGCTCAGCACCAATCTGGTGCAGTGCAGAGAGGGCCGGGCCTAGCGTCAGGAAGACCCACGTTCAAATATGGCCTCCGACGCTTCCTAGCTGTGTGACCCTGGGCAAGTCACCTAACTACTGTCTGCCACAGTTTCCTCAGCTGTAAAATGGGGATCCCATTAGCATCTACCTCCCGGGGCTATCATGAGGACCAAATGAGATCATTTTAAAGCTCTTAGCACAGTGCCTGGCACGCAGCTTAATAAAGGCTTCCTTCCTCCCTTCCTTCTTTCCTCCTTCAATCTTTCTCTCCTCCTTTTTTCACTCCTCCCTCCCTCCTTCCTTCCCTTCTCTCCTTCCTTCCACTAGGCAATGACATCTGTGTCCATGGCAACTGTTCTAGTCAAGATTCAGAGGGGGGCCCCAGGGACATGGTACTTTAAGCTTTCCAAAACATTTCCCTTCCCCCCTCTGAGATAGGTAACAGGTCTGAGGGACCCCGTTTACCAAGGGGGGTTAGAGAGCCAGGCGAGGGTCAGAGACAGGAAGGAGGCAGACCCCGGATCCCCCGATGGGAGGACTCACGCCATACACAGGAGCTGAGCTGTTCTGGCCAAGAGGGATCTGCAGAACCTGCTCACCTCCGCTGCCCGCTGTCCTTTCCTTCTCTCGTCAGTTCTGGCTGCAGAGCTCTCTCATTCGCACCATCCTCCTCCTGGCCCAAAACGACTTTGCTTTCTTTTACTACATTACAAACATGTCACATATGAAAGAATTACAGCAGAGCTGACAGAGCATGTGTGCGTGCAAGCGTGTGTGTGCACATGCATGTGTGCACACACGTGTGTGTCCATGTGTGCAGTGCACATGCGTGTGTGTACGTGTGTACGTGTGTGTGTGTGTGTGTGTGTGTGTGTGTGCGTGTGTGATCTCACAGAAAAATCCAAGGGTGCGGAGCGATGTGCCCTGTGGCTAGAACAAAGCCCCTGAGCAGGGCCAGCGAATCCCAACAGTAGGGCATCGTGGATTGAGGGCTGGAGTCAGGAAGATCTGGGTTCCAGTCCTGCTTCTGAATCTCCCAAACTACGTGCAATCAGGTAAAACGTTTTGAGAGCTTTGACGTGGCACAGAAATGCCATTCAGCTTAACTAAGCAGAAATCCACGAGAGCTGCGCCAGTGAGCTGGCCCCAGAGCCAGGAAGACCAGAGGCCAAGTCCTACATACCACGTGCTGACCGAGTGACCCTGGGTGAGTCACTGACCTAGGGCTCAGGCAAGGGGGGCTTCCCTGTCTCTCAGTCCTGATTTTAAAGGCATAAAGCCAAACACAGAGGATGCAGAGGAAACCTATCATGTTGAAATGGGCCTCAGAAACTCTGTGGGCCCTGCCGCTGGCTGACAGGCTGCTCAGCCGGGAGCCCCCCAAGCCAAAGAAATCACAAGGCCACCCCTAATTCTTCCGCAATTCAGGTCGTCACCTCAGCCCTCCTGAGTTATGGCTGGCCACCTGTCCCACAGGATGGCTTTTGTCCAGCAGAGCTAGAATTGGCCTTACAAAAAAGCCCAGGAATCAAAACGACTTTGGCTCAAGCCAGCCGTCCACTTACACAGATCACAACCCTCAGGAGCCTGGAGAAGTCTCGACTTCAGAAGCTGTGAGGGGCAATGATGCCGAGCTGGTGGCCCTGGGCACCGTGACTGGGAGCTCTGCTCGGCCTTGCAAAGAGAGGGCCTGAGAACAGGGGGAATGAGGGACAGTCCCTCCTGTGCCTGGGAAGACAGGGAGGCTAACTGCAGCCTAAATCAACCTACGTTCTTCAGAGTTCAAACCGCATTTAATTGTTTCAAAGGCGTGCAATGCCCTCTTGGCCAGGCCAGCACATCCTTCCCCGAAACAAGGGCCTTGGACTGGGTGCCTGCGCAGCATCATGGCTCGAATGTCAGAGGAGTGCCAACAAAACCCAGCAGGGACAGCTAGAAAGAGAAACTCCATCTAATGCATCTGCAGACAGGATAAAATGCTTGGGAGTCTGTGAGCCAGCACACACTCAGGAACTACATGAACACATTCCAAAAGACTCTTCCCACAAATAAAGACAGATCTAAACAACTGGGGAATTATTAACTTCTCATGGGCAGACCAAACCAATGTGACAAAAAGGACAATACTCCCCAAATTAATCTTTGTCCCCTTGGCCAATCTGCAGGGTACGAGGAGTCATCTCAGAATTATTTTAATCCATACTCTGCTTGGGTGCTGGTCATTTGCAGTTTGCAGTCCTTATCTGGGGAAAGCTTCTTCCAAATCCTTTGACCACTAATCCACAGGGAAATGCTCTTAGTGTTACACGTTTGCATCAGCTCTCTTACGGTTTATTTCCTCTGACTTCAGGTCTTTCCTCCTCTTACCTTTAGCCTTCTCCCAAAATCTAAGTTCTACTGTTAAGGGAGTCTCCTTTGAAACACTGACATCCAATCACGCTCTCCGAGCTGCTTGTCACAGGACCAGGCACTGCTGCCCTGGTGTCCAGCTAACCATGAAAAACAACCAGGCCAGGCCCTGCTTCCATTTTTTTTAAAAAACAAAAGTTAAAGCCCCAAAGAAGCAAGAGCTCAGTGAATGCATCTCATCCTAATATTTCCAGCTACATACAATGGTGTCACAAACCCCAAGTCACTGTGGACTGAGCCTCCTCTGAGGATGCCAGGAATGAACGACACGTGGCTCAGACGGAAAGGGGGCGCCCCACCCCCGCTGTCAGGAAAGGCTCGCTCCCCAGGACCACGGCGCTGGCAAGGACGTCATCGGCCACCAGGCCCAACCCCGACCTGCGTCCTCCCAAACACGGGGCCACTCGGCCTTCTTGGGGAGACGGCCATGACTTCCCTGCCTCCTTCCCCAACGAGCTCACCCACTGGCAGCAGGTGAGACCCCTCGTTCTGGCTGCTCCAAGACTCTATGTCCTGAGGAATGATGGGGTGCTGGTGGAGAGTGCCTCAGGCCAACTTTGAGGGGCAGGGAGGTGAATTGAAAGAATGGTGGCCCTGGCATTGAGAAGCACCCCAGTGTGAGCATAAGCTCTGCGCCTCGGTTTCCTCATCTGTCTTCCCCACCTCAGCAGGCGGCTGTGAGGATCAATCTGAAAACCTTGGGGGGGGCGCATCGATGCCCGCTGCTGCTACGCCCACAAAACAGTGCAGCATCAGCACACACGCGTGGGGAGCTTCTCTGGCAGAGGGCCCGAGTACAACTAGCGAATGCAATTTGGACAAAATGGGGGGGAGAGCGGCAGAAGGGGCCACGCTCGATGCTCCCCTCCCCTGTTCCATCATGTGTCAAAACTCAGGGACTATGACAGGTTGAAAAGCCCCAAGGCCCGTGCAGGGAGGGGCACGGCAGGGCGCTTCCAGGAGAGAGCACCGTCCCCCTCAGCTGCTCTCCTGGGCACAGAGATGAGGACGGGAGAATCAGACTCACATGAAGATGCTGCTCCCAAGGGCACACATGCAAATGCACCCAAGAGAATGGGTGAGAACTGGGTTCAAATCCCACCTCTGAACAGCTACAGGACCTTGGACAAGTCATTGGCCTCTCCTTGCCTTGGACAGCTCCTGCAGATGGGCTGCTATCTGTAGGGCAGGACGGACTTTTCCATGCAGATGGACTCAGGCCCTTCCCATATTCATGTACAGATAAATACACTAGCATGGATATGTATTTACCACAGGAGAGAGAACCATCATCTACCGATAAAACTGTTCCTGAAGGGCAGGGACAAAGATTAGACCCGTCATTTCTCCAATGAGGAAACTCCCTGCCTCATTGTGGGCTGGCCCCAGAAGGCTCGGGGTCCCCCAGCCCTGGAGGATCGGGGGCACGACCCAAACCCTGCTCTGGCTGGTTCCTGGGCAGTTCCCCCCCTTCAGACCCTGCTGTCTCTGTTGCCAGATGAAGAAGACAGAAACCCTCCGTATCCACCCAACATCACATTCGTCATTGCGCCGTTCCTGAGACACGGGAAGGGGTCCCCCTCCAAGGCCACGGGCGCCTCCCTTGTCTGAACCTACCCCAGGAACCCGAGAGCCCCGCTGCCCCTGCAGAACAAGGCTGCCTCTGCCATCCCTCCCCAGGCCCCCCAGGGCCTCTGGACCCGGGGCCCAACTCACGTGGAGTCCAGCCTCGTGCCATCCATGAGGGAGGCGTTGTAGTGATACTTGAGGTAATCTCCTTTCTTGCTCAGGACTGAGCAGTTGTCCGGCTTGAAACGTGAAGTGATGTCAACGGTGTCTGAAGGGTTGTGGAAGTCAATGACGTGGATGTCAAAGACCAGGACGGCAGAGCCAGGGATGTTGCCTACAGAGAGAGGGAGATGGTATGTCAGGGTGGAAGCAGAGCCAGGCCCAGCCCTGTCCTCAGGAGGCCTGTGTTCTCCTGGGGGATGGGCTACAACAGGTCAGCAGGACCCGGGACATTTAACATGCACGTCAGCAGTGGCTTCTGGCGGAGCCTGGAAGCAGAGCCTTGAAGGACGCTGAGTGCTCTCACGGGTGCAGGTGGGGGGGGGGGGGGGCAGCCCGGCCTCCTGGGACTCCTGCTCTGTACAAAGGGACAGGAGGAGGAGGGGAAGGTCAAGGTCCCAAAGCGGCCAGTTTGGATGGAAACCAGTGACGGGAGATCGGCCTCCACGGGGAGGCCTAAGCCACATCATAGAGGCGTTCACTGACACAGAGACGTGGTCGGACATGGGCTGAGGTGAAGGGACTTGGGCAGCTATCAATGAGCTGGAGAGGAGAATGAGAGGCTGGGGGCAAGGAGTCCAAGGAGGAGGCCCCCGAAGGAAATCCAAGCCGAGGGCCAGGAGAGGGTGAGCTTGGAGTGGAGAGATTGTGAAGGCAGAATCAACAAGATGAGGCAGATGAGTAGACTCTGGAGGAGGTAAAACAGGAAGAGGAAAAGGATGACGCGGAGATTCCAAACATGGGGGACAGGAAGGGTGGTGGGTTTCAACAGAAACAGGGAAAACTAGAAGAGGGTGGGTTCTAGGGGTGAGGAAAGCCAACGGGGTCTTCCTTACTCCAAGACCCTGTTATAGCAAGGAGTGAATGGAGGAATGAAAGTATTCTGCTGACCACACCCCGCCTCCCTTCCCAGCTGACCCCCCCAAAAGGCAGCCCCTCCCCCTGCCCCCAGGCCCAGCCAGGAACCCCAGGACCCTGGATCTGGTGTGACTCCCCACCCCGGAACTGTGCTAGAGCACCCCAACCTCAGTGTAAAGGGGGACTCCCAAGTATCCCAGCCCCCCAGAACCTTTCCCCACTGGCTCAGCTGGGCCACAGATGCTGTGCATCCTCCAAAGGGTGGCTAAGGACCTGAGTGAAGGAGGGCACAGGGAGGGGCTCCAAGAGCTTCTACAGGCATCCCTGGTCTCATCGCCTAGCAACAGGGAGCCGGGCGAGGCTGCCAGACAGGCAGAAGCCGGAGGAGTCCACAGGGGCCTGCTGCAGCAGGCCAAGGTCCTGGAGCAAACATAATCATTCATCGAGTTCTGCCTAGCACCTGAAAATCATCTGGAGTGGGGGAAGAAATCCCAAGCAAACAGTTTCCCCTTCTCCTGTCTCATTTCTGTCTTTGTGCTCCAGCACCCAGGACAGGGGCTGGCATACAGCAGGAACTTAATAAATGTAGCTCAGCTGATTTTTTTTAAAGGGGAGGGGGTAGGGAAGTGGCCTAGAAGCGCTTCCTCCTTTATACCTGTGACTGCCAGCAATCAATCAATCAGCCAGCATTTATTAGGTGCTTACTCTGGGCCACGCACCAGACAGGCAAAGGAGAAAACAGAAATCCTGACCTAATCTGAATCGGAGAGATGCCCCATGAGTCAGCAGGTACCCCAAGGCACGCACACTGTAAACACACAGTGACCTCAGAGGGAAGCGGCGGGAGGCCAGGAAAGGTCTCCTGAAAAAGGTGGGAGCTGAGCTGAGCCGAGAAGCAGAGGTGAGGAGGGACAGCATTCCAGGCATGGGCCACTGCCAGGGCAAAGGCATGGAGACCAGAGATGGGCAATGGAGCACACACTGTGGCCAGACCAGAGGAAGTGCAGAGGGGAAGTGACCAAGAGGTCTCTGTGTGTCTGCGTTCTGACCTGGGATGCAGCTTACTACGCCCTTTAACTCCCGAAATACAACCACTAGCAGCCCGAGGACGTGGGCCGATTCGGGGCAAGTGTGTGGGTAGGGGAGCTCACCTCGCCCTTCTTCTCCATAGCCCAGGTGAGGAGGGATGGTGATGCGGCGTCTCTCTCCGATGCAAACGCCGAGCAAACCTTCATCCATCCCAGCAATCACGTAGCCCTGCCCGATATAGGTGTCAAACGTGCGGTTCCGGGAATAGCTGAAAGACGCACACAAACCGGCCTGGTCGGGAAAAATCTCCCCTCCCCCCACCAGGGGAGGTGCTTGCCTCACTCCTGGGTCACAGGGCTCAGCCGGGAGGTGCCTGCCCCCCTCCCCCCAAATCAAGTTCGAGGCCCGCCCCCACTTTACAGGTAAAGGAAATGAAGCCCTGGGAAGGGGCCTGACTTGTCAGGGTCAGACCCAGGACTCAAACACAGGTCCCGAGTCTCCTCATTCAGCACTGACCAGACGGAAGGCCCAGCCTCCAACAAGAGGGCATGCCAAGGCCAGGAGGCAGGCAACTGCCTCGCCCAAGGGTCACGCAGCCAGGATGTGAACCCAGGCCCTGATTCCAAACCTCTCTCCACTGCACCACAAGGGGACGCGATTTCAAGGATGTAACAGATCAATACTGGCTATGAAAAATGAGAATTTAGCATGGTGACTGAGTCAGCCTCACTCACTCAGAGATAAACCTGGGGCTTTCCATCAAGGCCATTCCCCAAAGTGGGGCCCAAGGGAAACTCGGCACAAGCAGGGCTTGCTTGGACAGTGGGGATGTGCAAAGACTCAGGGATCCCAAGGGCAATACGCAGCTACGTTCTAGGCAGGGGGCACAGCCGGGGCAAAAGCAGAGAGGGGGGAAACGAACAGCTGAGCTGGGAGCAAAGCAAGTGAACCCTTCGGGGCAGAGCCAAGGTCACAAAGAGGGAGGATGTGAAACAACGTGGGATGCTGAGCCAGACCCTGCGGGAAGCTGCCACAGACACCAGCCCAGCGACCAGCAGAAGACCTTGTCCCTAACGGCCGCTGTATTACCTGGAGTCAAACAAGGTGCCGTCCAGCAGGGAAGCGTTGTAGTGGTAGCGGAGGAAGTCCCCAGGGCGGCTTCTGCGCTCACACTCTTCTGGCAAAAACGTGTTCTCAACGGTGATGCTGTCTTTGGGGTTGTGCAAATCCAGCAAGGCCACATCAAACACCAGGGAGGCCTGCCCGGGAATGTCTTTACCTAGGGGGGCGTTAGACAGGAGGCGTCACACCAGGACATCCCCGGAGCCTCCCCGATCTAGCCTCTTATCTGTGCTAAGGCCACGAGTCGAGGTCTGGAGGGTGCCCGCTGCATGCCAGGCACAGGGGAGGTGCAAAGTGGGCCCTGCCTGGCCCTGCCCTCAAGGGGCTTACCTTCTCCTAGGGGACAGCACATAAAAACAGGACCTTCGGTAGGGAAGCTGATGGGTTATGTGAGCCCTGACTGCTCTGCATCTTATGCGCGGTCCCTTAGCCTACGCCCCTGTTGCAAGGGGGAGTCTGGTGTGGGGACCCCAGGCCTGAACCTCGCCTAAGCTTTAAGCAGATTTCCAGGGAGTCAATAGAGACAAATTGCTTGGTGGTCAGGCCCCCAGGACCAAATCTAGACCAGGAGGCCCAGAGCCTTTGGTGGGAGAGGGTAGAGGAGAAGGGGCCTGGACTGTGGGGGAACACAGGGAGGAGTGTGAGTGTGCACACACACACAGGTAGACACACATGGGTGTGTGCATCTTATGGTACTCCAGATGGCTTTCAACAACATAAGTCAAACGTTAAAGGCAGCAGCACATTCCAAATTTCTGAGCACTGATAAGAGGGAAATATGTTTCGCATAATGGCATATATATAACCTATAGCAAACCACTTACTGTCTTAGGGAGAGAGGAGGTAAGGGAGGGATAGAGAAAGTCTGGAACTCAAAAAAAATTTTAAATGAATGTTAAAAATTATCTATATGTAATTGGGAAAAAATAAAATATAAATATTTTAAAGGTCAAATTTCTGAGCACAGAACAGATGATTAAGAAGCCTTGGGGGGCAGCTAGGTGGCGCCGTGGATAGAGCACCAGCCCTGAAGTCAGGAGGACCTGAGTTCAAATCCAGCCTCAGACCAAACACTTGACACTTACTAGCTGTGTGACCCTGGGCAAATCGCTTAACCCCAACTGCCTAAAAATAAAAAAAATAAATTAAATTAAATTTTAAAAAAAGAAGGCTTGGGAAAAGAAAAATTACAGGAAATTGCGATTTATAAAAACCTTCAATTTTTCAGAAGAAAAAGGCAAAACTCCATCTCTCATCTATAGTAGACTAGGAAAAATTACTAGCCCTAAAGAAAGTTGTAATTAACTCTTTAAACAATGTTCATTGACTAAAAAAAGTCCAAATGGAATTTTGTGTCTCTCCCTAGGGCCAGAAGCTGCCAAGCAGGAGCCAGTAAGCACTGGTGGAGGGAGTTTCTGATACCAATAAAATCATGATGCAGGTGTGCCAAGCACCATGCCAACACAAAAGACCTCTGGGGGCTTCCATCCTCCCAGGGATGCCCCTGTGTGTGGAGAACTGAGGGCTGCTGCTAGCTGTAAAAATCAATCAACAAAACATTCTTAAGCCCTTAACCATGTCAAACTAACTGACCTGCCATCCTCACACTCCTCAATCTTCCTTCCCATCTGGTGAAGTGGGGCCAGGGAATGGGCACCAGCTGGACGGAGGCAGCCCCACCACCATGCCTCATGCCTCACCTTCCCCCAGATGCAGGGAAAGCCAGAGCGCCAACCAAACCTCTGGTCCTTAAAGTACTGAGCTAGACATCCAACTCTGTCCTGGGGGGTCAGGGAAGGGCGCTCCATCTACACACACACACACACACACACACACACACACACACACACCCTCGAGAATGCTGTGTGTCCTGCACACATGCATCTGATGCCCCATCAGGGCCTGGGGAGGCTCCTGGATTCCCAAACCGAGGACAGCTGGGTGCCAGCCCCTGCGGGCCCTCCCCAATGAGAAAGGCTTCAAGTAGGGGGTCAGTGATGGAGGAGGAGGAGGAGTCTGTGACCTCCGGGCCTGCCTAGCCTAGCTAAGTTTGCAGAGGGTCATGCCTGGAGGTCTGAAACCCCAGCTGAAGAATTCGGCTGCAGCATATGAGGAAAACATCTGCCGAGGGATGGAGGGAACCCTATCACACTGGGGAAATCCTGGATCTTTGAAAAGTTCTGCTGTGTGTCTGTTGTTGAATCAACAAACACCTATTAAGTGCCTACTCTGTGCCAGGCACTGCACACGCACAGACACAAATGCAACAGCCCCTGCCCTCAAGGGGCTTATGTTCTCCTGGGAGAGGTAACAGGTTCACATCCATAGGAACGTCTACAGAATATAAAATAACTTCAAGGCACGGGCCACCCCAGCAGCAGGGCACTATTCAGCTGACACCTCTGCTTTAAAGGAGTTTTCCTTTGGAAACTAGGAATGTTTTGGCCAGAGAAAGAGGGAAAGGGAGAGGGAGAAAGGAATAAACCAGCACACCTACTATGTGCCAGGCACTGTGCTATCAGCGCTTTACAAATATGATCTCACTTGATCCTCACCACAACCCTGGAAGGAAGAAGCCGTTAGCAGGCCCATTTTACGAGTGAGGAAGAGAGAGGGTAATTCACCTGCCCAGGGTCACACGCTAGCAAGTGTCTGAGGCCACATTTGAATCCAAGTCTTTCTGACTCCCGGCTGAGCGCTCCATGCCCAAGTATCTGACAGGCTGTCATGTGGTCAGACTTGCTATTGGGCACTGAAGGGCGGGGAAGGCAGAGCTGCAGAACTGGGCTTCACGGCAGTGGAAAATCTTCCTTACAAAAGTAGCCCCAAAGGGAGTGGGGGACGGGCTCCCAATGCAGGGAGGCCCCCGCCCTCCAGGACTTTCAGAAAAGGCCAGATGACTTCCTGGCAATCAGAGCCAAGTGGGAATTCTTTCCAAAAATGGATTGGACAAAGAAAACACATGTATAATTGACATCATATAGCTAGCCTTCTCCATGGGGGGGAGGGAGGGACAGAATTTAGAACTCAAAATTTTAAAAGAAAGAACTGTTTAAAATAAATAACAAATTAGAACATCCATACTTTTTAAAAATTTAAATATATAAAGTAAAATGTTAAAAATGGATTAGACAAACAGCCCCTGAGGTCTCTGCCTCTCAGTTATACCAGAAGGCCACCAGGAGCTCTGCACATCTGTGCTGGGACAGGCGGGAAGCTGAGCCCACCTCACGAAGCTGTCGTAGCTTTGCACACTCTGAAGCACCATCTAAGTGAGGACTGCTAATAGTATTAAAAACGAATTCATGAAACCAATATTGAATGTGTTCATTTATAACAAATTAATAATAAATGAATTCTCTTTCCCAATAGGACACATGTGGCATCCTGATCTACATTTTCAATGATTCTGTTATTTGGCTTCAGCTCAGATTTGCGAGCGAGCAGAAAAATAGTGAATTATGTATCATCTTGGCACTTCATATGCTCAACCAACATATTAACATGTTGCCTTTGTTATGGCTACTGGAGCGTGTTCATAGCATGTTCATCAGCATACATCTATGTGCTGAGGCTTCTAGCAGTAGCCTGGGTTTCACTGAACCCCAAGAAGCATGGAGAATGGGGAGAAGGGAAAGAGAGGGAGCAGGCCAGGGAGACAGTCTGGAAACAAGTCAGCTCCAATGGCAGTATCCAGTAACAAGATGGCGGCGGGGGGAGGGAGAAGAGCATAGAGTGGCCACTGATTCATCAGGGATATCTAAATGGGGAGTGTCCTAGGGAGCTGACTGCTTTTCACTATATACTATTTTGACTTAGCCAGACTTCTACTTGCCTTCCAAAATCCAAATATTCCAAAGACAATCTCCTTAACACAAAGTCTGGCAAGGTTCCACCTAGCCACAGCTGAATTCAGAACTGTGACAAAAACAGACAGATGACTCACCATCGCCGTCTTCCCCATAGGCCAGAAAAGGAGGTATGGTGATGATCCGTTTTTCCCCCACACACATCCCCAGGAGGCCTTTGTCCATCCCAGGGATCAGCCAGCCGATCCCCACATAGGTGTCGTAAGTTTTCATCCGATTGTGGCTATCAAACAAAACAATGGTCCATTAGTCACAGGACCCCACACTTTTGTGAGTATCTGCTCCCAAGTCATCAATCAGTATTCCTGAAGAAGTTTATGAAAAAACCGATCAATCAAAGAACAAGTATTTATAAAATGCACATTGCTAAGCCTTGGGGTTACCAAAGCAAAAACCACCTGACCCTCAACTGAGAGCTAGTATTCATTGTATCAGGGGAGATACTGTGCTTATTTAAGTATGTACAAAAGAAATACATCTGTATTCCAAAGAGATCATAAAAAAGAGAAAAGGACCCACATGTACAAAAATATTTATAGCAGCTCTTTTTGTGGTGGCCAAGAACTGGAAATTGAGGCGATGCCCATCAATTGGGGAAAGGCTGAACAAGTTATGGTGCATGAATGTAGTGGAATACTCTTGTGCCATAAGAAATGATGAGCAGGACGCTCTCAGAAAAACCTGGAAAGATTTGCATGGGCTGATGCTGTGTGAAGTGAGCAGAACCAGAACACTGTAGACAGTAACAGCAATATTACACGATGAACAATTGTGAGTCACTTGGCTCTTCTCAGTCACACAATGATCAAGACAATTCCAAAGGGCTCACAATGAAAAATGCTACCCACATTCAGAGAAAGAATTGATGAACTCTGAATGCAGAATGCAACAGACTTTTTTCACTTTCTTTATGTTTGTTGCCTTTATTTTTTGGTACATAGCTAATATGAAAGTATGTTTTGCATGACTTCACATGTATAATTGATGTATAGCTTGCTCTCAAGGAGTGGGGGAGGAGCTGGAGAGAATTCAGAACTCAACATTTTTAAAAAATGAATGTCAAAAATTAAAAATAAATGAGCAAATAAATAAATACTTGGATGAATTAATGAACAAATATAATGACACTGGAAGAAGTGAGCCCTGGATTTTCCCAAAATCAGCTCTCACAGTCCTGCTAGCAAAATCGCCTAGGGATAACATGGGCGGGAATAACCTGAGAGCTAAGGGGCGGGGGCTCATTCTCTAGCTTAACCCCAGCCAACGCCATGGGAGCCTATTAACACTGCCCCTAAGTCACCATGTTCTCCTTGCTCACCTCCCCTCTGGAACAACGCTGCAAAAACAAACATAAATCAAGAGTGGTTCAGTGTTAAAGGCACTGAAGCCACCGCGGCAAAAGGACGGCTGCTTCACAGGTAAAGTTATCCCACAGATGTTTTGCAATCTCCTCACTGACAACAAACAAAATTCCATCACCACGCCACAGACAGTTCTGGGAAACACAGCCTCAGAGCTGGAGCGGGGGCTCATTGTACAGAAGAGGAGACTGAGGCCCAAGAGGGGACATGACTTGTCCCAAGTTGTAGAACCAAGATGTAAATCTGGGGCCTTGGACTCCAAATCCACACCAAACTCAACATTACAAGTTTAAATAACTTATATTTTGATAAAATAGAGAAATACACATTTTAGTGAAATTAGGATAAAGACGAGACATCTGCTCAGGGTCCCCTTCTGAACTGATCTGCAAACCTAACAGTCCCTTTGTTTTCGTCCACATGCAACCACACGGGGCTGTTTGTGAGGGTCAAAGGACTCTTTATAAAAAGCATTAGCACAGAGGCAGGGAGGTACAGGTGATGGGGTGCCAGGTCTTTAGTCGGAAAGACCTGGGTTCAAATTTGTGAGGTCCCAACAATTCTCTTTACCTCCCAGTGCCCCTAAGCAACTTGCAGGGAGGGAACCCCCACACATGCTGACAAACCACAGACCGCGAATGCCCCACCTGTCACAAGGCAACATGAGGCTACACAACGGTTACTCCTTGCTCATACCTGGGCCTGGCCAATTTCCTTTTCTGATTCTACATTTCCTGGAGCAAATAATTTTGAAGGAATAAAAATGCAGAGAAGCACAGCTGCAATCTGGAAGGGTGGGTGCCATCCCAAAGAGCAGGGTGCAAGTCCTGCTCTGCTCTGACATCCCGGCTGTGTGACCGTGGGGAAGGGTCGTCCCCTCCCGACTCCCCTGCACTCTGGGTTACTCTGCTGCTCTGTGCCAGTGGAGGGAGCTCCCCTTCCTGATGAAACGGAAAGGCCCACAGCAAGGACACAAATAAAGAGAGTTGTAAGCACAGGTTCATCTCGGCCCGTGTCACTCTGCATCAGTCTCTCTTTCCTTACAGTCTTCATTTGGTCATTTTTAGGGCGCTCTCTTCTTCCGTTCCATTAACGCACCACAATTTATTCAGCCCTTCCTCAGCTGCTAGGCCCGAGGCCCAGGCCAAGTGGCTATGAACAAAGAGGCCGTGAAGATTCCCAGGGAGACCCACTGAGGCAGTACCAGGGGGTCACTGAGCTGGAGGTGACGAGCAAGCCAGCGCCCATCTGTAGCCACCAATGAGGCAGCAGCCCCCAAAATGAATTCTACCTCCGGGAGGGAAGCGGCAGCTTTTGCCAATTTGATGGAGATAAGGTACTACCTCATGGTTTTCCTGATTAGGATTTTTCTGAATTATTATAGATCTGAATAGATTCTCACATAGTGATCCAGAGTTTTCGTTACTCTTTAGAAATGGTGCGATTTTCTTTGAGCCCTCATCTTCCCTGGGCCTTCAGAGACCCAGGACCCTGCTGCTCTAGCCCCTAACCGGCGCTGGTTTCCCCATAAGAACATAAGCTCCTTGAGGAGCTATCTAGCTTTCTGTGAATAGTTCACACACAGTACAACAAAGGCCTGGAAATCAGCAAATGCTTAACAAACGTGTTTTCATTCATTCATTTCTCCACTTCGGAGCACACGTTACTCTTACATATCTCTATCAGTCCCTTCCCAATTCTGGCCCATGAGAGATCACATAGGTAGTGCTGGATCCGACCTCCAAAATGTAGTACAACCCATTCATTTTACAGATATGGAAACTGAGGTCCAGGGTTAGGTAGCTTGCCCCAAATCGAATAAGTAAAAGTCAGAGACAGGACTCAAACAAAGTTCTTTGATTAGAAAACAAAAACTCTAACCTTTGTTCTCAAATGTCAATTTTTAAAGACACTGCTTTTTTTAAATGCAAAATCCTTTTTCTTCATATAATCAAACCCACTGATTTTGTGTTCCTGCCTCATATCCCCCGGTCTGTCCCATGCAGCTTACAGGATTCTTTTCTGGTCATTGTACTCCTGAAGTTTGACAATAACCTGCCTTTAGGACAGCTGAAATCAAAGCTTTCACTTTCTCAAGGTTCTATGAATTCTCTCTCGTAAACTGGTGTTTGTTTTGAATAACTGAAAAACTAAGAGATGTACTGCTCGTATTCTTTTCTCTTTCTAAGTTTCCCAAGATGTTATGAATCCTCAGGCAGAGCATCTCAACTTATCCTCCACCTGTCACTTGTCTCTACGTGGTTTCCGACACTGTAGTTGAGCTACCTTCTGAGCTTGTCTCTTACTTCCTTGACATTTATAGTTTCGTTCTCGGCTTTGAGGTCTGCGGTTGACTGCTCCCATCGACATTTTCAGATTTACCATTGCCTTTCATATTAGTCAGTTTTCCCCCAAAATTCTCCCTTTCCCAATTTGTAAGTTCAAGTCTTTCTGGGAATTTCTAAACTGCTGTGAATTCTTCCTTCATCTCCTCCCCTGATTTCCTCCTCTGAGCTAACCCTTTCCTAAATGCTCTAACATGTCCTTTGGTCACTCTGGGATATCTCTCAGGATGGAGCCTGCCGTGGTTCTTTTTTCCATCTGACATGAAAGATTCAAGAAAGTGAGGCAGTTGTACAGACTGATTCAGGTTAAGAGCCTCCCAGCGGCTGCTCTGTTGTCGAAAGAAGCAAAGAGCAGGTAGAAAGTCGAGCAGGTCCGTGGTTCCCTGACCTCACAGCCAAAAGCAGCCCTTACCTGGAGTCGAAAAGAGTCCCATCCAAGAACGTGCCGTTGTAGTGGTATCTTACAAAATCGGACACCTGGATTGTCCGAGAACAATTAGCCGGCTTGAAGTAAGTATGAACTTGAACTTGGTCTTCAGAATTCCAGAGGTCCATCAAAAGGACGTCAAAGTGCAGCACAGAGTCAGGGGGGACGACGTCGGCTAGAAATGCAAAATAAGGAGAAACTGAGCCTGCCACCCAGCCGCTCCCGCTCATAAACCTCCAAGAACCAGACAAAAAATCAAAGTCTGTTTAAATCATTCACACATCATTCCAAAGAAAAGGACATTGGAAAAGCTAGTCAGATTGCTTGGCTCCTTCTTCTAGATGAGTTGAAATGACTGGACAGAACAGAATAACTGGTTAGGAGGCCCTATTAGTCTCCATGTGGGGATGTGGCACAGTGGATAGAGCGCCAGGCTTACAGTCAGGTAGACTCATCATCCTGAATTCAAATCTGGCCTCAGACACTTACTAGCTGCGTGATTCTGGGCAAGTCACTTCACCCTGGTTGCCTCAGTTCCCTCATCTATAAAATGAGCTGGGGAAGGAAATGGCAAACCACACCAGTATCTCTGCCAAGAAAACCCCAAATAGGGTCATGGAGAGTCACACGTGACTGTAAAACAAGGGAAAGAGAACACGAAGGGGAACACAAGCCCGCAGACCCCCACCTACACCCTGAAGAGTGATTAGGGACAGTGAGTGTGCACGTGCATGGGTCTGGGCCCCGGGCCAGGGTCGGAGCTCTGTCCTCCCTGCTCTCCAAAGGACACTCTTTTGGGTGGTCACTAGAGTGCGGGGACCCAATCTGAGAGCCCTAACAGAGTGGGCCTGTCGCCCCCTCTCCACAGGACTCATCTGATCCATACCAAACAAGACCCACCTCCGGGCTAACCCCGGGCCTCCTGGGACACGCGGCACAAACGATTCAAACAGGTTCACAATCATGCCTTTGCGCTGGCCATGTCACACACCTCCTGCACTTGTCCCTCACTCCACCTCTTTCCTGCCTCCAAACACTATTTTCTACATGAAGCTTTCCTGATTCAGCTTCAGCATCCTCCCTCCTCACTTACTTTGTCTTCAATTATTCTGTACTGATATACAGAGATATAGATTCTTTTGACATTTACTCTGTCTATGCTTCTATATGTACGTGGTGCCTCTCCCTTAGAATGTAAGTTCCTTGAGGGAAGAGACCATTTTTGCTACTAATTTGGGTAGGGGCCTATTTAACGACTGTCTCTGTATGCCCAGGCACACATACATAGGAGGTGCTTAATAAATGCCTTTGGGGGGTTTGATCAGATCTCCTAAGGGCCTACCCCTGCCCAAGGGGCTTTAATGTTTTTCAGTCATGACCACAAATCATTTCTGAGCCATACTCACGGACGCCTTCGCTCCCATAGGCGAGCTGGGGAGGAATTTTCACAAATCTCCTCTCGTTCACACACATGCCAACCAGGGCTTTGTCCATCCCGGCGATCAGCTGACCTTTCCCCACAAACACGTTGAAGGTAGAGCCCCGATCATAACTGCACAAGAGGAGAAAGGGAAGTGTCAGCAAACAGCAAACAGTTCCTCAGGGCAGACAAACCAACCCAGAGCCATACACCTCAAGGAGCGCTGATGGAGGTGATTCCAGGGACGGACTGTCCTTGGTGCTCCCTTGAGAGGAGATGCCTCTGCCACCGCCTAGCCGTGTGAGCTGACACAGGTCATTTTAACTCTTGGAGTCTCAGTGCCTTCATCAGTCCCTCGGTGCTCATCCCTCAGGGGAGATGACACATGTATAAAAGCATCTCATAAACCTTGTACAGGAGACAGAGCTCTGGACTCAAGAGTCAGGAAAGGCAACAGAGAGTTACTAAAGATCATTGAACAGGACACGAACAAGGTGAGATCTACACCATGGGAAGATTCCATTGGCTGCTGTTCAGAGAGGGGGCTGGAAGCAAGTGGACTAATCAGACCATCGTTAACAGTCGAGGTCACGGGGATGAGAGCCTGATCTAGAACGTGGTGGACCAGAGGGAAGGGAGATGTGAGAGGTATTGGGGGAGGAGAATCAGCAAATCTTGGCAACTGATTGGCTATGGGGGGCGAGGAAGAGAGAAGGGTCTCAGACTCATCTGAGATTGCAAACCTGGATGACTACAGGGACAGCAGTGGCCTCAAAAGAGGAAAGCTTGGAGGAAGGGCAAGTTTACTGGGGGAGACCATGAGTTCCACAGTGAATATGTGTCTTTGAAATGACCAAGAGACATTCAGGTGGAGAAATCAAGCAAGTAGTTAGTGAGGCAGACCCAGAGCTCAAGATAGATCACTGGGTTGAAAATCTAGACATAGGGATCGTGAGCCATAAGGATTAGCTAAGATCACCAAGAAAAGGAGTGTAGGAAAAGAAGAGAAGAGAGCTGAGGGCAGAGCTTTGAGAGACAGAGAAGCCAATGGGAGGAAAGCCAGAGGACGGCAGGATCACAGAAGTCAGGAGAGAGCAGAGCATGCAGAAGGGAGCGGTCACCAACGTCAAAGTCACAGGGAGGCCGAGGAGGACGAGGCCTGAGAAAAGGTCACTGTTTCTGTGGCTGACACGTCACTAGGGAGTGGAAAGTGTTTAGTTGCCTGGTGAGATCAGAAATCCAACTGCCAGGGGTCAGGTGAGTGGGAGGCCATCTTCCCTGACCTCGCTACAGCCTGTAACACTGCTGATCACTCCTCCGCCTGGATCCTTTGCCCTCCTTTGACGTGCAGGGCAATGGTCTCTAGCTCCCTACCTCTCTGCCCATTCCTCCTCATTATCAGCCCCTATGTACATCAGCTTTTTCTGACTCTCACGATAACCCTGTGAGGGAGCTGCCATTTTGATCTTCATGTTACAAATGAAGACAGTGAAGCTGAGAAAGATAGAGTGCCACAGATCATACCACCAGGAAGTGTCTTCGTTGGGGTTCAATTCAGTTCTTCCTGATCCAAAGTTCATCTCTTTGCTATCTCCATTCTCACCCGGGCTAATCACAGCACCTCCTGACTGGTCTCCCTGACTCACGTCTCTTCCCTCCCTCTCCAGTCCATCCTCCATTCAGCCACCCAGGTCAGCCACCCTTAAGCCACGGTCTGACCAAGTCACCCCCTTATGCAATAAACTCCAAGGGCCCTATTACCTCTAAGATCAAATACAAAACCCTCTGTTTGTCTCATAAAGCATTTTGTAACTTGGACCCTTCCTACCTTTCCTTACTTCTGACACCTTACTCTGCCCCCACCCACACCCCAGAATTTGGCTTCTTGTGAACAAGCACTATAAGAATCAATGTCTCTCTCTCTCCCTCTCTCCCTCAACCTAGCACAGCACTTGGTACATAGGAGGGGCTCAGTAAAGGCTTGCTGAATTGAAGAGATGGCATGCTTATCAAATTGGAGCAGGCTCAGAATCAGGGGCATCTCCCCTCTGATCGGAGGGCAGACTACCAAACTCCTCCCGATGCCTTCCTTCATAGCGGGCAGAAGCTGACTCAGCTCACTCCACTGTGCATCTGCTGCCCTGCCTGGTTCCAACTCCATGAAACAAGATGGTCCCACACCAGGTACCCCTGGTGTCCTCCCCCCCACCCTCCTGTCTCCTTTTGTGTGCTGTCTCCCCCCACAGAGTGTAAGTTCCATGAGGGCAGAGGCTGTCTTTCGTTTTATTAACTGTATCCCTAGCACATAGCACAATGCCTGGCACACGATAGGTGCTTAATAAACGTTTATTGGACTGAACAACACCACAAAGGTCTTCAAGTATGTGAAGGGATATGCTGTGGAAGAGAGATTCATTAGTCATGTTCTGCTTGGCCCAGAGGGCAGAACTCAGGACAATGGAGGGCTATTGTACAGAGGTAGATTTGAGTCCCATGGGAGGGAAAACTCCCTAAAAATTCAATCTGAGAAGGCAGTGGGTCTCCCCAAACACCCCAAACGTCTCTGAGTGGAGACTGGGAGACCATCTGTCTGTGCTAGTATGCTGCACAGTTATGCACCAGGCCCAAAGTCGCATCCTTTCTGACTCTGAATCTGAACGTCCGCCCTCCACTTCTCTTACTCTCTCTTTCTTTGAATTCTCGATGCCCGAGCCCACGAGATGAGGCAAGCACCCCCGCTTGCAGGGAGCTTCTCTGCTCAGGACAATTCTAAGTCAGCCCCATCCACACAGTGGGGTCCAAAAGGCCCACAGCCTGTGCTTCTCGAACATCAGCTACAAGCATATCCCCAGCTGCCCCCAAGTTTGAGCCAGCCAATTCTATTAATAGAGACCGAGCCATGCATCAGTCTTTCCCCAGATGTAACACGTGTGAAGATGGCTGCGATTCTCGTGCTAGGAAATCATGGACAAACGTGCTTTTCCTCCCAGTTCCCACTGCCAGGGGCCTGCGGCATCAGGGATGACGTCACTGCTGCACGGGAAGCCGGTGGAGAGAGAGGCTGGGGCTCAGCCTTCCTCTGTTTCCTGGCTGTCTCCCAAGGCTCCTCAGCCAGCCCGAGAGCAAAGGGCTCAAAATTAAAAAGGTCTCCTGTGTGAAAAACGACTCGAGAGTGGAGATAAATGCATGCGAACACACCCACACCTAGAACATTCAGGGTATGAGTTACTGGTGCCCTAAGATTGGGTGCTGGAGGAGGACTTGCAGAGGGTGAAATTGAGGTCTGCAGAATCTCATAAGCCAAAAGGAAGGGGAGAAGAGAACAAGCATTTCTAAGTGCCTGCTGTGTGCACCGGCTGCTTTGTTTAAAAAACAAACCAAAAAACCCTGAGGCAGAGAGAGGTTGGGGGACTTATCCAGGGTCACCTAGCTAACCAGTGTCTGGGGTCCTAGGTGACCCCAAGTCTTCCCAAAGCCAAGGGGCCCTGGAAGTCAGTCCATCCAACCCATTCACGCCTCAACAACACATCCAACAAGAGGCCATCTGGCTTTGACCAAGGATCTCCAGAGAGGGCTGCTCCACCCTCGGCCTCTGCCCAACCAGCCGTCACATTGCTGGAAAGCTCTGTTGATTGTGAGGTTCTCTCAGACATCAGGCCGACTGAGGCCCAGAAGAACAGCTCTAATCATCTGTCCACGTGACTGCCCTTCAGAGACCAGAAGAGAGTTACCATCAACCAATAAATATTTATTAAGGCCTAGGAGTGCCAGACATCACAGCCCCTTTCATGCTGTTCTTCTCCAGGATAAACCTCCCCCATTTTTGGTCTCACGACCCCGTGCCATCCCGCTTGGGAGTGTCCTTCCTAACACGTGGCGCTTCGAGCAGGAGACGCACAACACTGCAGACCGGTGGGACTATGCCCATGCTCTGGTTAAGAAGCCTTTCTTAATTCAGGACACCTTAGAGTAGAAGGGATTAAGGGAGAAGAAGAAACAAACCCATCCTGCCTCACAGTCTCCCGCATCACAGCAGCTCTCTCCAAGGCTGTTATCAGACCTCGGCCCCAGCCTGAAGCTCAAGCTGCATTTAATTCCCCAAATGAGGTCAGGCGCCATGCCTCGCCTGTCTCTGCAGCCACAGGGACGTGGCAGCCAGCAGAGGTACCCTCCGTCACTTGGCACCAGGCCATGCGTGTCCCTGGTGAAATTCTGGGGGCCCAGGGACAAAACTCCAATCCTCACTGGTCTGGTTTCAATCAAACATCAAACTCTTACTAAGCACCTACTGTGTGCCAGGCACTGGGCTAAGCACTGCAGTTAAAAAGACAAAAGAAAATGTTCTTGTCCTCAAGGAGCAAGAGAGAAAATGTTCATCTACAGGAAAGGCAGAAGCAGCTGGGCGGGGTAGGCAGAAGGCAGTGCTTGGGGTGAGTTCTGCAGTTAAATCTCTAGTTGGAGACCACATCAAGCCAACAGCCAACTCAAGCATGGCGTTCTGACCCTGAAGCAGAACCCAGCCCTTGGCTTGGCTCCAAAGATTCTCACGACTCCTTGTCTCTCTAGGATCCAATGTGACCTAGGTCTCTTAAGATCACTGGGAAGGAAGGACATGAGGGAGGGAGGGAAGGAGGAAGGAAGGGAGGAAGGGAGGAAGGGAGGAAGGGAGGGAGGGAGGGAGGGAGAGAGGGAGGGAGGAAGGGAGGGAGGAAGGACATGAGAGAGGCAGCGACAGAGGGAGGAAGGAAAAGAGGAAGGGAAGGAGGGAGGATTTATTAAGCACCTACTAAAAGCCAGACACTGTGATAAGCACTTCACAAAACCTCTCCCATTTGATCCTCACCATGACCCTGGAGGCTGAGGTGCCATTATCCTCCCCATTCCACAGTTTAGTGACTTGCTCAGGGTCCCCAAGCAATCAAGCGTCTAAGGCCACATTTGAACTCGTCTCTCCTTGCCCAGACCTAGCACTCACTGAGCCCCTCAGGGGCTGCCTTCTCAGACCAGGCAGGGTGACACAGTAAAACTCTGGGCCTGGAGTCAAGAAGCCCCAGGCTCACATTAGACCCTGGACACTTGGTGACTGTGTAACTCTGAACAAGTCACTTCACCCTCTCACTCTGTTTTCTCAT